GTTCGTGTCAGACGCAATACATAAGAAATGTAATTGAAAAACATATGACGGAGGTGAGCGCGCCAGTTAGGCTACTCAGCAGGAAATGCGAGTTTCTCGATTCTTTTTCTAGACTCCTTGCTTAAACAATAAGTGCTATAAAAACATAAATGACACACGTATGCGTATTTATGCTGGAAAGCAAGGCATATGGGCTCCTTGTTGGGCGCGTTGACAATAGAACTATGAATTCAAGAGTTAATGATCTTTACCCTGCAGTTAAGTGCGTTTCGTAATAATAATTAAATTGAATATTATAGTGTTTGCACGTCTTTTTATGTCGCATTTAGAAGACATTCTAAAATTAGGACCTGTTATTTCTTTTGGCTAAGTACCGGAAACCTTGCAAATTGGTAAGGGCTAGTTCTTTCTGTAACGTTTATAAATCAGTGATAATGTCACGAATGCCCGCGCACTATAACTTGTTAATTTCATTACACTGCAGTAGAATGCATTACCTTATAACATGTATTTCTTTTTTGTATCTCGTTATTCTTCAAGACACACTCGGCAAACTTCTGAGACTTCGCACCGGTTCCCAGTTACAGGCAATTTCCATAACACACTTTGGCCGGAAGTATAGAGCTCCAATAATATGGCAGAAGTGGTATCAGTTTGGCACTACTTCAAGACATTGTTTTGCTCACCATGATTATCATACGTGAACCTCTTGCGTGAGAACCAGGTAGGGGTCACTGACGAGAATAATGGCCACGGAAGAACGCAAACACGGTCCTGTAAAAGCGAGAGCTACCATATCTATATTATACTATCGTTAACATTATTGGCCATTTACTTTAGGAAAGCAGTGATAATTGTGCGACGCTTTGTCGAATTCCACCTTTCATTCAAATTCAAAGTGGTGGTGTGACCTCATACGTGACGTTGATGCTTTGGTCATGTGGTTAAGGTGATGAGGTACAAATAGATTCTCGTCTACACTATAAGCATCACAGAAAATACGTGTTTTATGCCAAAAAAAAAACATGCAAGCTCCTCACGATTTCAACAGAGGCCGCATAATGAAGGAAGTGGTCCTTACGTGAATCGTACACTATGACTTCTAGAGCGCATCTTCTATGTTCTTCATTCTCCTTTAAATAACAAAGAAAACATTCATTTCTTGTCAATTTGTCTCAAATACCTGCGACAATTTGAAATGATCTCTATGCATAGAGTCCAAATCAAACTAGCAACATGCAATGTTGAATTCACCGTTTCTATGCGTTTTACTGGTGCTTACCAGGTGAAAGTTTTGAGTAGTTGTTTATTCACAGTGGAGACAGCGAATGGCGTAAACTATGATTACCTAGAAAACGCTTACAAAAAATCACACATAATGAGGGACACGAATAAAGTGAATTCACGGTTCGTCCCTTTTTCTGGCACTCTTTTGAGTCACGCTTAAATATCCCAGGGTGACTCAAGGTCACTCATTAGGGTAATCACTGCATCTTCTCTATGTTTCTATTTTTGATGTTGATAACGCTGTGTGTCCTTTCATGCGCCTTTTCTACGTGCCGCGCTGCTTATCTCTTACCCTGTAGCTTTTTTTTTCTTTGGGTTGTGCTGTAGCAAGTTTTCCATAGCTGGTTAAAAAAAACACATATGTGCTTCCACTGTAGATTCATACTTCCACATGTGTGGCGTAAAGCCGCCAAAAGGATCGCATCAGCTCCAATCTATACGCTGCCTTGAGAGATCGGTATCATTCGAAATGCATTCGTCCCCGTCGACTAAAACGAAGATTGGCGCGAACGTGAAAGGAAAATGCGGCTGCATAATCTGGACGCATTACGCAACTCTGTGAGTCTCTCTCTCTTCTTGACTATCTCTCCAGCACTCGTTGCGCACCAGCAACACTTGCCAACTGGATCTCAGTGCCAAATTAAGCCATGGAGCTGACAGGTGCACAGACAGAGTGAGTAGGCCTTCGTTTATATCATTCTTTCACGTCGCCTTCCGATGCCGAATTTTTTGTACTATTGGGTGGTATTAGCCAGTGTGACCCGCAGTATAGTGTGCTAGTGGCGACCAAGGAACTACTCACAGTCGCTAATGTTGACGCTGGTGAGCGCGACATGCGTACACTATTTAAAAAAAAAAGAAGTAAAAAATGACATAACTGTGGCATTGCCCCCTACCAGACACGCTTGTTACCCTTCGACAAAGCTTTCTGCTTTAAAGGTAGTACATATTGTCGTTACTACTTAAAGTGCATGGGTTAGCGCAAACATTCAGTACGCGACAAGTTAGTACCACCACCTTTATCGGCAGCGGTGTGGTGTGCTGTGATTGAGACAGTGTCATGAAAAAAGTTAGGCCAGGCTATATATTTTTAATTATGTGGAAATAACTGTTTTAGGCTACGTCATGGCACACGTATATGCCAGTATTGAGTTGTAAAAATCCGGGTCGAAAACATCAAATGAGATTTTGAGATCTTGATTAAATCACCTGTACAACGTGTGCTACCCCAATGTAGGGCTATATTCACTTATATCCTTTGTGCCGCTGTTAGAAGGCATGTCATTAGGGAGCCCTGTTAGGCATGATCGTAACATAACCACGCGGAAAACGACGGATGAACACAAAGATACAAACGAGCGCTGACTCAGCAATCACTTCTTAATTTCGAACCAAAAAGGGATGTTCAAATAGAAAACATTTCAGCTTTTCCTGTAGGAACCAAGTGATATGTTCTTGCCAGGTTTGTTTCTTTTAAGCACTCACACTTAGGAAGCATTCTAACTTGTTCGTTTCGCACTTAAAAACATCAGTAAATGCCCCAATTTGCTACCCTCAATTCCCTTTGCCAGTTTCTCAAGTGAAAACCTATAGCGTAAAGTTCTTTTTTTCTTAAAGTTTTAACTTCCCAAGTGACGTGCCTTTCTGAACATGAAACACAATGAAATGGCAGCAGCTGCCTTAAATTTGAACGTGGCAATTAATACCACCTTGTTTAGAAGCGCGTGTCTGTGTTGGGTGTTTCACATGCATTATTAGCATCGGATATTAAAGCTGTGTTTATTTAACAGAATAAGGGCACAAAAAACAATGCTGTGCAGTCTCGCTTTGTTTATTTTAGCTTGTAGAGGTAGTAGAGCATATACTTCTTTTAATTGCTTTCAGCGGGAGAACAGTTTTAAAAATGCCATCTTGAGTAACACGGGAAGCACGTATTAGCGATAGCCGCTGTGAAACATTGTGGCTAAAAATGTTCAACGAGCGTTCAGTAATGCACTGCCTTCGTTGAGCTCTCCGCCACTCTGATATCATTCAGCGCACGTATTCGCTTAACACTGGAGGCTCTCGCTTTTACTAGCGCTTAGTAAAATACCTAGGCATTCCCCAGTTTTAAGTGATCGCTCCTGCTGAAAGTACATGGCACTCTTGACGCAACTCCTGTTATTACAAGCTTTTAGATACAATGCGCGATTCACAACATGCACGATTAAAATAGAAATTGCGAGATCCTTAAGCTTCGCCTTTAAGAGCTGAATGCAATAGCGGCATCCTGTTCTATCGCGTACTTTAGCATTTCGTCTATGAAATTTTGTCGAACTTGTTGTGCATCTGCTACGTGGCCTTAAGGAATAGGCGTAGTAATGGTGTGCCTTTTGTAATGGGTTACCAGCTTTAAACCACGAAGTCACTGAGATAAGCGTATGTTCTGACACCCGGAGGCAATGTACGCTTGTACCACGCATTATCGCGGTAATACTTCATTTTGTATTGTGAAGTATGCATACAGGAGATCTGCGTTTGTAAAGCATGAAAGTTACTTTCGCTGCATTTCCAAGCCGAGGAAGTTAATTTTCATGTTGTCACAAGCAGATGCACGGCTGTGTGTGAAAACACAAACTTGCCAGGCGCATGAACCAGAGGTCGATCTCCACTTAGACCTTGAATTTTCCATTATTAGTTTATTTACATCTTTCTCGATTTTGAGGTCATGAACAAGATGACAATCTTTCACTCACAACGAACGATGCCGACGCTGACACCAGAATTTCTGCAAAGTGGAACTATTTAACACTACTTTTAGCGCTCTTATTCTTTCATCAGCAGCGTCATCATCATGCCACAATGGTGGGTACCTCGCATGTGTTGTGTCGTGATGGCAGCAGTCGTCGTCATCAGGTACCTGGCATGTGCTAACACGCTTATTCTTCATTGGAATCGTCATCGCGTACAGGGGTACCTTGCATGTGCTGTGCTGGACAACAGACAATGCAAAATGGTCGAACCTGACGCGCATCGCCCCTCCAAGGAGGCTATTGTGGCAGAAAATGCATTCGATCTTGTCTTTTCCGTGCACGCGCAGTGGAAACTACGGTGCATGGTACGTTCGGTGCGCAGTAATGAATAACGCAGCATGTTATGAAAAAGACTCAGACGAAAAATGCACGTTTCTTACTTCACGTGAAAGGGTGTTTGTTGCTCTGGGCAAACACTTCCCCATTTACAGAGGAAAGCTCGAAGGTGCTGCTACAACTTGGCGACGGCATCACGTAGCGCTCACGAGGTGAGCTGGCCTTGCATAGCTTGGAGGTGAACTTTTGAGTCATGTGAACACCGGTCAATCAAAGCACAAGCTGTGAAAACGGCACTGGGACTCGCATTTTAGTTTCTCGGAGATTATATCACCGAACATTTTCGTTTTTTTTTTCATGATCACGTGTCGATAAACGCACTTTTCTTTGACGTCACTGCAAGCTTCGTGCGGTGTGACAGAGGCATCTAGGAGGGCCAAGTGATGTAGCTCAACACACTATTACAGTAAACTGGTTGGAATGCGCTGCATTTCTTTCCTTCATTTTTTTAATATACCACGTGCCCGTTACTATACATACAGTTGTCCGCCATCGTAATTCTGTTCACGCTAACAGGCCTGTATAGTTCTTCTGTTGTAAAATCGCGACTTGAGCACACACGTCGACGTCCTACTCTCTTTCCAGGCGCCGATAAAACTTCACAGAGCTTCACAGAGGGCTCCGGCATCTTCAATGGTTACGTATCGAAGCGGAGTCAGAATGCTTCCGGCAAGAACAACCCTTCCCGCTGGTGTGCCACAACCAGTGCACTGGAAAACGGCGACAGTGCCCTTCTGAAGCCTGAAGGCCCTCGTAGCAGCGTCACACTAGAGTGGAAAAATGTCTCGTACGCAGTTACTCACGGAAAAGGTGATAAACTTATTTCTACGAAGGCAAGCTTACACTCGGTCAGCTTCTGACTTCGTTGTTGGTTTCATTAGGGTCATTCTCAAAGAAATGACCTTTTAAAATGATGTGAAGAGATTTAGAGCAGCCACTCAGCACGCGATTGTAGTATATTCTCGTCCAATTGGCATGTGCACAAACACAGAGTATTATTCCCTGCTGGTGCTCCCTCATTGGCCACTTCGAGATGCGTCACACATGGGCAGTGCCGACCATGGCGTATTCCGTGGCGCAATACAGAGCCGCAGTCTGCGATGTAATATTCCTAATAAAGACACTGTCAAGGTGCTTGTATTGCCGATAAACGTCACGACCGAAATTTCAGCCTTATGAAGACTCGTATCCCTTTGCGCAAGCATTTGCATTTTCAATGCTGCTTACGTTAAGTTATCCTAGCTGAATATATAAATACATTTTTTGGGAATAATGTCCCAAAACTGCCATAAAAATATGAGAGACGCCGTAGTAAAGAGCTCCGGAAATTCCGACAGGCTGGAGTTCTTTAACACGCACCTAAATGTATAAGCCCGCGGGCCTCAAGAATTTTCTCCTCAATTTAAAACGCGTCCCCCACAGCCGCGATTCAATCCCGCGACTTGAGGGTCAGCAGCAGAGTCTCTTAACCACTAGACTACCATGGCGAGCATTTTAGCTTAGGTTACGTTGAATTATGAATGGAAACGCTCTGATTAATAATTAAATCAGGCTGAAGTTTATTTCAAACTTGATCTACGGAAGTTTTCAGGTACGTGCATTCGCCAGTGTTTGTTGAAGGCCAACACTAGTACTTTTCTGTGTTTTTTTTAGTTTTGTAATGTCTTCAAGCATTGTACCATTCTTTTTATTATTGGTTTTCATATGCTTAAGCTTTAAGCATGGCAGGATGTAGCCTAAGCGTAAAACAGGCAAGTGCTTCGAAACAACGTTTTGGAGTGCCTGGATCTCTTTCATAAGAATGCATTGTGTTTTCGCGACGTGTATTGGTCTATTTCTCGCAGAAAAGAAGACGCTTGTCACAAATATGTACGGTAAAGCGCTACCCGGAACGATGACAGCCATAATGGGACCTTCTGGAGCTGGAAAAACAACGTTGCTCAACGTTCTCTCTGGCCATTAGTGAGTACCTCTGCGCAAACAACTCTATCGTACCTGTTTCTTCACGTTGTCTTACATTAGGTTTCGTTATTTAAATTAGGTAACATTGTGCCTTGATACCTTCTACCGTATTATTCTTCAGTGTTTCACATACATGCTAACAAATCGTCAGTTAACGATGATTGCACCTAACCAAAATTTGCCACTGAAACTGCCATTGGCAGTGGGTGCCTCGAAAGCGAAGCGATTTAATTGTAACAAGCTTGATCATGCAATAGAATGGAAAGGTAGGCTAGTTGGTAATTCATAATTGTTCAGCGAACTGAGAGCGTGGGAGGAACACAGACACGAAGCAAAGAGGCGTGCTGTGTGCCTCCTTTTTGCTTCGTGTCTGTATTCCTCCCGTGCTCCCAGTTCGTTTAACAATTATAAGCTTGATCATCCTTCTGTTGTACTTGACAATCGCATCATACGTGCGTACATAGCAACCTCCCGTTTGAAAAGAAACTGCAAGCAGACTTCCGACGTGTACGCGAAAGGCTTTGATACGTCACAGTGGCAACCGTGCGCACCAGAGTCTGTTCTACTCGAACGGATGCAGTCGGTCGTTCGAACGTTATCCAAAGTAATCTGAAATTACCTTGTTGATACCGATGGTCTCCTTGACTTCGCGTGCAGTGGCAAAGGCTACGAAGGCGAAGTCCAGGTCAACGGCTGGGTGCGGCACACGGAGTTGTTCAACAGGCAGAGCTGCTACGTCATGCAGGACGATTGCCTTCTCCCGGAGCTTACCGTGAGGGAGTCACTGGAAATGAGCGTGCGCCTGCGTATGCCTTCTCTAGCGTCCGCCAAGCGAGCACACCTGGTACGCAAAACTTGACACATTGATTCTGTACGTTGCTCACCGTGGGATTCTAAGCGCGGGTCGCAGCTGCAGCACCTAACGTTCTCCGGAGAGCGAAATGTGGATAGGGTTCAGCGACTCAAGCAAGGCGCGTATTCCAGTGCTTTCCTTCGTCGTTGAAGTGATAATGCGATAACCCAGTGGCTTATCGAGTGGCACTGGCGGCCTTCGGCTGTCAGGCACCACGCTACGAAATGCAGCGAGACTTCTTTCAGTAGACACGTTCTCAGCAATAAATAGCTCCATAATTTTTACTTCATGAATTGCGAACCTTGTATTCTTATTTTTAGACCAAGTAACATATGAAGATGTTTTGCGCCTCAGGAATAAACAAACGCCGTTACTTATACGGCTGTCATATCGCTTGTTTTACATCGGTTCGCTTGTGTTTAGTTTCCTATTGGGGCTTCCGTGATCAGTTCGGCAGCACGAAGGCAAAGCCGATTGTGGAGGCCTCGTTTACATCAACGAAATCTAGGAGCGACAGTTGAGGGCTTACAGGTTTTCACTAACGCAAGTGTCGCATACCTTCCGCAGCGTTCCACTGGATGCCTCAAACTGGGCACAGTGCAGCATGCTTCGTCATGATGCACAGTTTATTTATTTATTTATTAGAATACCCTCAGGGCCCGTAGGGCATTACAGAGGGGGTGGGTACAACATATATAACACACAAGAAAAAAGACAAAATAAAGAAACAAGTATCAGATGCGCAAATCAGGAAGGCAACATAAGTCAACTAAAAATTTATAAGAATTCAAGCACATACAAGACAAAGATAGATAATGGAAACTGCGTATAGTTACAAGCATTGCTGAGAAATTGCAGTCTTGAATAACAAAGGGTCTGTTATTGATACAACGGAAGAGGGAAGGTGGTTCCAATCGGCGGCTGTTTTCGGTAAGAAGGCTGCTGAAAAGAATTTGGTGCGGCAAAACGGAATGGCAACCTTATGCTGATGATCAATGCGCGATGAGTGGTATGACGGTTGTGAAATGAGGTCTCGCTTCATTGATGGATTGTGAAAAAATATCTTATGAAAAAAATGCAGTCGCGCCAGTTTCCTCCGGACAGTTAAATTGGGTAGGTCAAGGTTAGATTTCATTTCTGATATGCTAGCAGTACGGGAATAATTGAGTTGCGAACACTCTCAGCGGGATTTCGAGAGTGCATGCCGCACGGGGTGTTCAGCGAAACCTACCCGCATTAACGCGAAATTCAGCTCATGCGTACTGCCTTATCGATTAATTTACTTTGCTATCGCGATCATGGCGTAGCCTGAGCGCACCTTCATTCGAAGGTACTCACTAGAGCACTGACATTAATCTACTTTTCTATCGCGATCATGGCGTATAGCCTGAGCGCACCTTCATTCGAAGGTACTCACTAGAGCACTGACATTAATCTACTTTGCTATCACGGTCATGGCGTAGCCTGAGTGCACCTTCATCGAAGGTACGCACTAGAGCACTGCATGGACCCGGGCCGTCCCGAAAGCCACGGCCCGGCCCGGCCCTTTTTTTGGATTGGGCCCGAGCCCGGGCACGTGAGCGTCGAACTCGGTTTGGGCTCGATCCCGAGACAGGCCCGTATTAGGCCCGGGTCTCATACATATCGGTATAATGGGGTGTGTAAGCTTTGTCTGGTGTTTGGCTTTGTTGTTTAACTTACTATTACACTTATCTTGTCGACATAAAAGCCGACGCCTTCTGAATTGAAGCCTGCTAGAGCAATATAATATGCCTCATCCACGTGAACTGGCCTTCAAAAAAACTTGCTGCGGCAATATGGTGAAAAGATATGTTTATACGTTTATAAAATTAGCAAGAAACATTTGCATAGGATGCTGAATTATAAGTGTACATTTCGAGTTGCTGATTTTTCGTAGAGCATTTTTTTTACTTTTCCTTATAAAAAAATCGTAAGACGGCTTCGCACCAGTGGTGACAAGTCAGGGCTGAGCAGTCTGCCTCATTTCTCTTTATTTTTTTCTTTCTTTACTCCTCTCTACCTTTGTTTTTTTCGCTGTTTATTCTATCTCTTTTGTCTCTGCTTTTTTCTTTCAACCTTTGTCTTTCTCTCTCTATTGAATATTTTTCTGCTTATAACTCTTCCTACCTTTCTTTCTCTCTTTCTCTATATTTCTCGTTTCTTTTTCTTCCTCTCTTGCTCTGTCTTTTTCTCATTTGGGCTATCTTTAATTCTATATCTTTCTCTCCTTTTGCTTTTTTTATCTTGTTGTACATGAACTCATGGTCGTCTTATGGAGCTCTGCTGTTAAAATGAACACAAGTGAGGTTGTTGTTTCTAATCCAGCCTAGTTATAACCTGCGTGTAGCTTGACGTCTCGCATGCAACCTCCTGTGCCTTCCGTTTACAATCGCTTAACGCAGGTAAACGAGGCGCTGTCTCGATGGGGCCTGGAGAAATGCGGGAACACTAGAGCCGGACAGCTTTCCGGCGGGCAGCGAAAGAGGCTCTCGATTGCGCAAGAGGTTGTGGGCAACCCTCCAGTGATTTTCCTGGATGAACCAACGAGGTTGGCGCCTTGCCATTTCTGCCACTTATATTGTGTTTCCAGCTGCTTGTCAAAGTGTTGTTCTTCGTGTTGGGTAACACGTTTCCATATATATATATATATATATATATATATATATATATATATATAGAGAGAGAGAGAGAGAGAGAGAGAGAGAGAGAGAGAGAGAGAGAGGGAGAGATAGACGTAGCGAGGAAGCAAGCGCACTGGCTCCGTAGTAAAAACGGAAGCGAGAAAGCACGACGTACGAGGAAACACTTTTAATAATCAGATACGTTTTGGCTGGTGGGCCAGCCATATATATAGGTAGATAGATAGATAGATATTGTAGCAACGATTCAAATTCACGCGCTCTACTATCCTTGAGCACACAGTCGACCTTGTTTCAATGGATAAAGACGATAGCGCAGCGATGCATGTGTTGCACCAAGCAGCCGAGTTAGTAGCACGACCTTTCCTGTATTACAGGAATGGAGCTGCATTCGAAGGCCAATTCACTTATTGCGAATGACATTCATCGATCGATTTATCGCTCAACCAAACGTGTTTGTCATTGTTTCATAGGAAGGCCTGGCAGTTAGCGACCGTTAATTTCATGAAGTGTACTTGAGCAGCGTACCTACTTGATTTTTAGTAACAACTAACTTGATTCATTTGTGGGGTTTAACGTCCCAAAACCACCATATGATTATGAGAGACGCCGTAGTGGAGGGCTCCGGAAATTTTGACCACCTGGGATTCTTTAACATGCACCCAAATCTGAGCACACGGGTCTACAGCATTTCCGCTTCCATCGGAAATGCAGCCGCCGCAGCCGGGATTTGATCCCGCGACCTGCGGGTCAGCAGCCGAGTACCTTAGCCACTAGACCACCGCGGCGGGGCTAGTAACAACTAACTTGATGTCGGGCAAACGCTGAATGCTGAAGCTTAGTTTATATTTCCTTCGTTATTTTATGCACAGTTAGTGCTATCTATCTATCTATATATATATATATATATATATATATATATATATATATATATATATATATATATATATATATATATGTGTGTGTGTGTGTGTGTGTGTGTGTGTGTGTGTGTGTGTGTGTGTGTGTGTGTGTGTGACGCTAGGAATGGGCGACATGGCCTGGCTCATACCCGATGTTTTTTCCTTCTGACTTCTTCCTCCTCTGCTTTTACTACAAGTCACTGCCTTCCTACGTCACAGGATTCCTCCTACCCCCGAAAGAATGCGCGAGTTACAATCAACAAAACAACAAAAAGCATAAAGTGAAGAATGTCAAAATGCGCGGTAGTTCGATTTCAGGAGGGAGTTTCTTAACTCGCACAAATGCTTCACAGTATAGGGCAGCAGTCCGGTCATATCTAGGGTAGCTCTGGTGGGCGAGGCTGGCTGTTGTGCCCTGGATAGCATAACCCTGCCCTGCACATGTCCACTGATGATGACACGACTGGAGGTCTTGTGAAGAACGAACAGGGCTTGAAATCTGTGTAGCATTGGATTGACGGATGTCTTTGGCATCGGATCCAGCGCCGTCGTGGCAATAGATGCTTTGCTTCTAGTCGGCGCGCGTGAGAACCGAGGATAATGGGACGATGTCTTTTTTGTCCGTTGTATACGTAGTAGCTTCATGTCTCTTTCGTAACTTTCTGTGGCGTTCTCTCAGTTTGTTGGATCGCAGACATGGCTTTGAGAACTGGTGCAGAAAATTTCGTCGACGTTTCTGTCTGCGAAGATGGCTTAGGCATCGACTTTGTCTTTGCTTCTTTAATTGATGTTGTCTCTGATGACCTTTCAGCCACAAGTGTACTCGTGAGGAGGTTTCATTTTATCGTTGTTCTTGTTCGAGTAGCCGTTGCAGTTCTTGGAGTTCGTGGAGTTGCCTTTTGTTGAAATTGCTCGTCTTGTTGTGAAAGTTCGTCAGATGGGCCTCTTTCAGGAACATGAGTCTGCTTTTCTTTAGATGGTGATTTAGATGGTGATGTGATCAGTACATTGTCGGTAGTCGACACTGCACTGCTAGGCTTGTCTTGCGATGAAAGCAGCGTGACAGGCTGATGAGAAAGCTCCCAAGATGGTTGTGAGTCATCTTTGATTGTGAATGCTTCTGTCAGTTGACAATGCGCTGGCGTTGGTGGATTCGAAATTCCTGCAGTGCTTTGACTCACATGTGTGTTATCACTTGACGATGAGAGCACACTAGACATGGCTTCAGGTGGTTCTGATGGCGTATGTTTTTTCTTTTTGCAGCGTGATTAGGCTGAGAATGTCTGTCGAATGACCCTGGTCGGGAACGTCAGGGCGTGGGCAGGTATTGCGAGGATTCACCAGCTCGTCACACGTAAATTCCGTCACACGCTCGAAACCGTTTGGGCCTTGTGTGTGACACGAAGCATCAAGGGATTCGGGTGCTTCAGTTAAATTTGAAGTGCTGTGGTGCAGTGAACACGTTGAAAATGCCCATTTCATTGCTCTTGGGAAAGGCGGATTTAGGTTCAGTTTTTTGGCGAAATTGTCTCGATTCCTTTCGGTATACGGACGCTTTACCTTGTCTGTTGCGACGTGCAAGTTACCAGTCAGTGTTCGAATGCGTGATGTTTTTTTGGAAGAGTCATATGATGGTACAATTGTGGTATATTTTCTCTGAGGTCTCGTTTGGACAATGGGGTTACTGCAGAAAGACTTCGCGTAACTGTGATGGGTGAGTTGAAATGCCTTCCGCTGATGAGGTATGGACCGGTCTTCATCGTATTCTTCGAAACGAATGATCATTTCTTCTTTGATGTTTTTCCAAGACTCATCGTTCTCGAAGATGTGGGTGAGGTAAAAGTTGAATACCTCACCTGAGATGTAGTCAGTGAAGTTTGTGGTCATCTCCCGTTCCGACCAGGATGCAGCGGCAGCATGGAGCTCGAAAAGGTTGAACCAGTCCCGTACGGGTTCCTCGTCCGCTGATCCGGTGTACTTGGGGATGTCAAGGTCGTCTGATGATGCTGTCATGATGCTGGTCTTGGTGTAGAGTTGAAATGTACTTTCGTGGTCCACGTTCGTTCACTGCGTCTTGCTGAGATGATCGAAGATGGTGGCCGGTTCATGAAGTGGCCGCCAGGTCTTCATCCTGTCGACTCGTGTGACGCTATGATGACTGGGTGACGTGGCCTGGCTCATACCCGATGTTTTTTTCATTCTGACTTCTTCCTCCTCAGCTTCTACTACAAGTCTCTGCCTTCCTACGTCATATATATATATATATATATATATATATAATATATATATATATATATATATTATATATATATATTTGTGAGATCTAACAGACAGTAATGCCAAGGAATGTACAGGGGAAGTTATTAGAACCAATGGAACGTAAATAAGAAGAAAAGTCGATAAAAAATAACCAGCCGTGAGCGGGAATCGAACCTACGACCTTCGAATAACGCGTTCGATGCTCTAACCACTGAGCTACCACAGCGGCCTTCCCTCCATCCACTTTTTGGGGTTGATATGTGAATTTAAATTCACATATAAACCCAAAACACAAACACAATATAGCCGCTGTAGCTTAGCTAGATCGTCGTATGTGTTATTCGAAGGTCTCATGTTCAGTCTCTGCGAGCGGCAAATTATCTTTAAAGCTCCCAAGATGGTTGTGAGTCATCTTTGATTGTGAATGCTTCTGTAGCTGACAATGCGCTGGCGTTGGTGGGATTCGAAATTCCTGCAGTGCTTTGACTCACATGTGTGTTATCACTTGACGATGAGAGCACACTAGACATGGCTTCAGGTGGTTCTGATGGCGTATGTTTTTTCTTTTTGCAGCGTGATTAGGCTGAGAATGTCTGTCGAACTGACCCTGGTCGGGAACGTCAGTGCGTGGGCGGTATTGCGAGGATTCACCAGCTCGTCACACGTAAATTCCGTCACACGCTCGAAACCAGTTTGGGCCTTGTGTGTGACACGAAGCATCAAGGGATTCGGGTGGCTTCAGTAAAATCTGAAGTGCTGTGGTGCAGTGAACACGTTGAAAATGCCATTTCATTGCTCTTGGGAAAGGCGGCTTTAGGTTCAGTTTTTCGGCGAAATAGTCTAGATTTCTTTCGGTATACGGACGCTTTACCTTGTCTGTTGCGACGAGCAAATTACCAGTCAGTGTTCGAATGCGTGATGTTTTTTTTTTCGGAAGAGTCATATGATGGTACAATTGTAGTATATTTTCTCTGAGGTCTCGTTTGGACAATGGGGTTACTGCGGGAAGACTTCGCGTAACTGTAATGGGTGAGTTGAAATGCCTTCCGCTGATGAGGTATGAACCGGTCTTCATCGTATTCTTTGAAACGAATGATCATTTCTTCTTTGATCTTTTTCCAAGACTCATCGTTCTCGAAGATGTGGGTGAGGTAAAATTTGAATGCCTCACCTGAGATGTAGTCAGTGAAGTTTGTGGTCATCTCCCGTTCCGACCAGGATGCAGCGGCAGCATGGAGCTCGAAAAGGTTGAACCAGTCCCGTACGGGTTCCTCGTCCGCTGATCCGGTGTACTTGGGGATGTCAAGGTCGTCTGATGATGCTGTCATGATGCTGGTCTTGGTGTAGAGTTGAAATGTACTTTCGTGGTCCACGTTCGGTCACTGCGTCTTGCTGAGATGATCGAAGATGGTGGCCGGTTCATGAAGTGGCCGCCAGGTCTTCATCCTGTCGACTCGTGTGACGCTATGATGACTGGGTGACGTGGCCTGGCTCATACCCGATGTTTTTTTTCATTCTGACTTCTTCCTCCTCAGCTTCTACTACAAGTCTCTGCCTTCCTACGTCATATATATATATATATATATATATATATATATATATATATATATATATATATATATATATATATTTGTGAGATCTAACAGACAGTAATGCCAAGGAATGTACAGGGGAAGTTATTAGAACCAATGGAACGTAAATAAGAAGAAAAGTCGATAAAAAATAACCAGCCGTGAGCGGGAATCGAACCTACGACCTTCGAATAACGCGTTCGATGCTCTAACCACTGAGCTACCACAGCGGCCTTCCCTCCATCCACTTTTTGGGGTTGATATGTGAATTTAAATTCACATATAAACCCAAAACACAAACACAATATAGCCGCTGTAGCTTAGCTAGATCGTCGTATGTGTTATTCGAAGGTCTCATGTTCAGTCTCTGCGAGCGGCAAATTATCTTTGCGTCTGCTTTTCTTTCTAAACATTGACATAATTACTACTCATAACAACCCCCTACATTTTTTGCGATCAATGCCTGTTAGTTGTCATTAACATTGTGTTTAACAAAGAAGAACGAGCCCTTAGGTTTCCATTTATGTCCTTTATTTTCAAATAAGTGGTTGGTATTTCAACGAAGTTTAAGTGATAGTGACAACCCATTATGGCCTCGATTTCAAGTCATCATTCTTCTCACAACAAAACATACTGAAGTGGAGCAAGAACTTCAGGAAGGAGTTTTCGCTCCGTGGTCGAGATAAAAACGCTGAGATAGAGTATCTGTGGAAAGCGTTTGATGTCATCATATCCATAGAGCCGAGCGAAAGACGAGGACGTATACATTTGGTTAACAAGTACTTTGGCGTCCTAACAAACGTTATTCATTTTTATGACTATATTTTTACACACACTGCTTATCGACAGTGGCCTGGATTCAAGCTCCGCTCTTCGCTGCGTTTTCGCGATGAAGTGCCTCGCCACAGCCGGACATACAGTTATATGCTCTATCCACAATCCCAGTGCCAAGCTGTTACACCACTTCGATACGGTAAGCAAAGCCACGACATTCATCTCGATAGGGAGTTTTTTCTGTAGGGGCCCCAAAGCACTTAACGTCTGCTCGCTTTGGGTCAAGCAGGAGCTGAGCGTTTTCTAATAGGTTCTGCGGCACCTTAAACCCTTCTCTTATTCAATGTCACTCAAGTCTTGACCGAGAGAGGTCACTGCAGTGGGCGCCGTCCCGTTTGTCTGACGTACTCAAAGCTTTTGGGACAGGCTTTGGGGGTCCCACTAAATTAAAGAAGTATATCATTCCCGACGCAAAACTGCAACTCTGTTTCAGTCTCACGCATGCGCAGTGGCCTGAACGCTATTTTTGGGGGTGGAGGAGGGGTGCCCTAAAACGACTGGGGCCCCTATTCTGAAACTCCCTAGTAAGCATTGGAGAATAACTTACGAACGTAGAAGAAACAAAGCGCTGCCGCTATTAGCAATTATTGCGTGCCCTAACGAATTGCTTTCCTTTTCCAGTTGTATATGATATCAAATGGAATTTGTATTTATAACGGTTCAGTGGAAGCACTCCTGCCGTTTCTTCAATCTCAAGGTTTGAACTGTCCAGCGCATCACAACCCAGCCGACTACCGTAAGTAAGGACACAACGTGAAGTCACTCTATAAAAAAAACAAAATATTGAATATAGTGCTCTTTATGGAAAGACCTGCGTTCCGCAGGGAATCACGACTAGCTTTGAATGCACGATCCAATATGGTAGGCACAAATGCTTCAAGTTTAAATATGGAAAAACTATGTTTCCGCTAATGTTTTTGTTTCGTGAATAGCGTCGATCATTTAAGCAAATATTTTTGTGAATATCACTGAAAAATTCCAACCTGCGTTCTACTTCTTAAATATTATATAATGAAGCATGAATAATATCACCTCTATACGCAGATATCATGCTGCTGTGGCAGGTTGTCCACTGAGTAGTTCAAGAGTTATAAAATAACTAACCAAACAAAGGTCATAAGGATATGTGGAAGCCGCTACAAACCAAATTAGATAAAAACTCACTGCCGCATTATCCGCAAAAATATATTCCAAAGAGTCACAGCTTTGCCGCAAATGCGAAGCAACGAACGTGATAACCACAATTTGAAAAGTCACGCGCAGAATGGAAAGCTCATCGAAACGTGCCCCACATTTCTCGCGCACAAATTACGCACAAAACTTACTCACAGGTACGGATGCACGCGAATAAGCGTCTCATTTGTTACTTCACTGAGTCTGAAAAGCGCGCGCTCTTCGCAAACGGAGACTACAATGACTGCAGTGACGTTTGTGCGCCCAGTAACTAGAGCAGAATCGTTCCACGCAAAGCCCGACGCCAGCCAAGGCCTACGATCCTCCCCTCCTCGCCACCGCGAGATAAGGCCGCGCGAGGGAGCGGCGCTCCCCTTCTCTAAGCCGGGCAAAGTACGCGTAGGAGATTAGAGTGGGCGCCGCTGCGCGATGTGGCGACTTGCGCTCATTGCGCCATCTCTGTGGTAATGCCGAAAACACAGCAGTGGTAAGTGGTAGATATAATTAGCTTGCCGTTTGAATGGTGAAGAACGTTATGTTGGATCAGTTGGCATTAGTTCATGATAAAACGTTAAAGCCCACATATCAATCGATCAGTTCATGATAAACAGAATGTCAAAAAAATATTGCACACAAGGAAAAATAAAGACACTGACGGCATGAAACTAGCAACCTATATATCTTTATTCAGGAGATACATACTTAAACCACGACTCAATTCTATCAAAACCCAACGAGTCAACAAAAAAACAGAAACTTTGCGCTCAGCATGCCAACGTCAAGTGACGTTCTGGAAAGGTTATCTCGTCCTGTTGAAAACCGACAGACGGGTGGCTGATGCAATCTAGCCCCTCCCTTTGCACAGGGCCGTTGTGCTTGCAGATTACTGTTGTTGGATCAAAAGCAGGCTTGCTAGTAGCGCGTCGTTTTTCAGTGGCTAGTAGAGCCGTAGAGAGTCGTCGGTGTGCTTGTTTAGGTCTTGTGCCGTATTTTCACGCCCTTTTGTTTATCGAAAATTTGGATCTGTCTGTCAGTCACACAATTCAGCCACCCAGCAATAGCTCAACGCCCAGCCATCTTGAACTGGTGGCGTCTTTCATACCTGTGAACATTGTTGATTAAAAGGCAAATATTGCGTACATCTGAGGCGCCGCATCAATACGTAAGTATTAGGCAGTGTATTATTTTACTAGAAAACATATAGATACATAAATCTAAAGACCCTAATGTTTTTTTTACGCTGCGCTGAAATTGTGACACTATACACACACAAAAAAAAACACTCAGCAGATATTAAGTTGCTGCCACCTGGCACTCATCCTGGGTTCTGCAGAAGCTCATGTTTCCCGACGGCACTGCCAGATGGCGTCCATATCTCCTCCTCTATTTTATCAATTTCAGTTATATCCGGCTGATTCAACATAGAAGAGGTGCTATCTAAGGCAAGGCAAAACATGAATGCCTATCATCTTTCGACGACGTTTGCAGCAAAGCAGGCAAATACGCGGTCTTTTTTTTTACATCATCACTGTTTGTAAAAGGTTTTTTTTATCCTTAGTCACAGAGATCGCTTCCGGAGAACATGGAGACGTTCAGGCACGACTTGGGGCGCACTTCACACCATACGGCATTGAACCTGTTATCGAGGACGTGGTACTTCCTTCAGAACGCCGAATTACACGATACGGAGGTCGTATTATGACCGAGCAAGTGAGTAAACTTGGCTTTTGTTAACGTTTGATAATGGCTTGGACGGGAGCAAAAGGTTAAAATGATCAGGAGTGGAGTGGTACGTATCGCATTAGGTGTACAATTTTATAATGCAGCGATGTTCCGTGCAGGGAATGTTTCCTTTATCGGCGAATTTTCGTCTGTAATTTTGAGCCAAAGAGAAAAAAGGAATGGTGGTGGTGTTGGTGGTGGTAGTATTGCAGCAGGCGGGGTTAGCCCGGCCTGCATGGCCGGCAATTGTTCCGCCTGAGCATCTCCTGAACTTGGAAATTGTCACCACGTGTCAGACACCCCAGTGTCTCGCAGGAAGACCAACAAAATTTGTTGCACGTTCCTCCTGGTTTCTGGGGGTCCTTCGGGAAAATGACGTCATCAGCTGTCCGGTGCCTATGACAGCCTTTTTGCGAGGTGCGGATCATCGCTGGTCTTTGCAAACAAAACTGTGGAGAAAGCCAAATGAAATGTTCAATATCCCGGATGTCACCGCAGAAGGCACAGAACGGTGAAGCGTATTTCCGAGTCTTGAATGACCAGGCCGGGGCGTACGTGGAGGCGGTTCTTATGCGGTACAACAGCGTCACTTGTTCACGAGAAAGTTCATGAATGACACATGCTTGGTGTGGAAACTTGTAGATCGCCTTGAAATGATTGCGCATCACATCTTTGTTGTTCTGGTAAGTCTTGGGAGTTCTTACTTTTGAAACAGATGTCCGTGCTTCGCATGCAAGGGCATGAGCCTTCTTATTGCCTTCATTTCCAACGTGGAATTGGATCCACTGAAACTTTATATTAAAACTCTTGCCAATTAGGTGTTTAATTAGTGTCATAGATCGCCAGGTGAACTTGTAGGCCACGATGGAATCTGTAGCGCCGATTTATAGTCCGTCAGCACTACAACATCTCGCGCAGAAAAGGATCGCAATTTCCGTAAAGCCATCGTGATTGCAGCGCTTTCTACCGTTGTGGACGAAACCACGCGATCCAGGGGCCCGACCAAGACACGTCAGAAAGGGCATGCAGAAAGCCGCTGCGCAGCTATCCGTTTGTGTGCTCACTGATCCGTCGGTGTACACTTGTAGGTGGCTGTGGTACATGGTGCTCAAGTGGTCCAGCGCAAGCAATTTTGCTTCCGCGGCTGGAATGGCAAGCTTCGCTGGTAGCTTGGCTACGCTGAAGTTACACGCAACATCCACAAAAGACCATGGCGGGTCCATAGGGCGCCGTTTAGGCAGTTTCAAGCCTAAATATTGAAATGTGTTCAGTGCCGCGTTGAAACGTGAGCCAGTTCTTGCTCTTAGCCGCCGCAGAAGCGCCATGCCTGCGACGGACTCGCCCAGTCTTGACACCTGCGTCAATAAGGCCTTAGACGCCAAAATGCGGAGTGGAAGAGACTCGGCTTCATTGGTGACCTTCGTGTTTGAAGCCGCCTGAGGAACTCCCATCGCCAAGCGAAGACCCTTTTGTGCACTGCCTCTAGGCGTTCGAACTGGCTCGGTGATGGTGATATCAGGGGCAGCTGATGAAGAATGTGGCTTGTTATAAGTGCAGCACTCAATTTAAGCATGGACATAGGATTGTTGCCCCAACGTACCCCTGCCATGTGACGAAGAGCGTTGATCCTTTGCACGGATGCAGTGACTATGCCATCAACCGCACGTCGCCATAATAGCTTGTTGTCGATGGTAATGCCCAGGAAACGGACACTTGTTGCACAACGAATTGAGTGGCCTCGAATATTTAGTGACAGACGTGTTGAATTCCGTCTCACCCCCGGAAAGATATTGCAGGGAATTTCAGGAATGGTTAAATTTTTCTATTACGACTAATGATTCGAGGTCACAGTGCGCCTTCATCTGCTCTAATCGGTTCTTGCACATGCACCACGCAAGCATAGCTTTTGAGATTTGTTTCAGATACATACACGTAGGGATTTCTAGTTCACTATTGGTGTTTGACTTGAAGATCACAATGTGCAGAGTACTAACAGTATATGAAATAATAAAGTCATGCTTTTGTTGTGAGGCATTGTAGGGGCCAGTCGTGATTTCAGAAGTCGCCAGTACGTTAGACACGTGTAATTATAATATACATGTGCGTGGATGGGGACGGAAATTAGTACTGTTGCGCAGGGAAATATGCCGGGAATTTCGTAAAGGTTTGCAGAGAAAATTGCCGAAATCAGAAATTTTTATGGTTCTGAATGGGAATTCGTCAGCGTAGTACGGAACATCACTGGCGTAATGTAGCCTTAGACATTTGACTGGGTCATCAACAATTTAATTAGGAAGGAAATTCAAATATTTGCCTAGAATAAATAGAATAACATCACAATATTGCAGCTTACTTAGAAGACATAATATAGACGCAAAAGTAGGAACATGTACCATCTTAGAACTGGTAGCCACCGTAAAATCTAAGAAGGGTGAGTATGCCTTTTCACAGCATATACCTACTAAACTCGCGCTGTCCCAAGACGCTTATGACACTGCATTTATCTTTCATTTTTATCTTTATCTTTGCATTTATTTATCTAGGAGGCCCGAAAACATACTGGCGGATATATTGACGCAGGATGATATATCGCATTAGCAGCAAAGGAAAAATATTTCTACGAATAATTTGTTCATGGACGTACCATAGCGATGAAGAGCTCGCATAACGCAGACTTCCTTTGAAAATCGAAGCAAAGGCAGAATCTTTTAACAAAGCTGTTTGTTGACCCAGTTGGTATTTCTTTTATGGCATATTTCAGCCGCGAAATAGCACATACACAGAGCAAAGAAACCACCCGCCCATCTTGTAGTTGTGTGTTTCCGTGCTCGATGTGTGCGCTATTTTGCGGATAAAACATGCCATAAAGGCCGCACGGTTGACTGACCCGTCTGGAAAACTTAGCTGGACAAAATAAATTTCTTTCTCACAGCCATACAGTGCGCGTGTTCTCACGACCCTGTAGTTGCAGTGTATTATTTCATATTGTTCGGCGTCATGTATATCGACTAAATTAACCCTACTAATGTTTCGAGTAACTGGACTTATTACTGGGAATAAGTTTGTTAGAAATTTTCTAATAGAGCTACGTCAGAGCCATACACCTAAATTATACTTGGCCTCAGTTTAAAGCACGCCTGCCTTCCAGTCAAGTAGCGGTTAATAAAAATATCATTTTTATTATTTTTCGCAGCGCTTACTCAATAAATCAACATAACTTGGCGGTAGATGCCTAGTAGAAAAACTCAGTTTTCATCGAATATTTCAGGAACTGGAAGACGCACTGGTACAACACAACGAAAACGTTAGCTACTTTGTTCAGTTCACGGTGCTCCTGCGGAGATGTTTTCTCTGTATAGCCAGAAACAGGGTGAGTTATACGAGTTTTTACTCCCACCAATTCAACTTCAAACCCTTCTATATTCAATCTTACTTTTCTTTAGATTCGTAACAAGGTTTTTCCCCTGATACTAAAGAACATATGTCTAATTCATAAGCTTTAATACATGATGGCCCCTCTCGCTGTCATTACTTTAATGGGCTGCGCAATCTGCGCAGCACATAATATGCGTCAAACAGCTCAAGTTTTTCTCCTGAGCTTCCTGGCTGCATTGAGATTCGCATTGCTCGCTTTGGTAATTATAGATATATTGCACTACAAGTACACGTGTTGAGCACAAGTAGTGTATCTATTCTACTCTGTAATGAAGGCTCCAGAATACGGCATGGGCTATGTGAGTGTGTATTTTCTCGACCAAATTCTTGTTTAGTGTTCAAAAATGTCACAGTCTCACCCTTAGGGTGATGGTTTTTGACGTGGATAAATAATGGTGTGCGAACTATTCGCCTGAAGTTTGGTCCAGCAATGTAATAACGAAGCTATTTTAACAGTTGTATTTTTTATTTATTCGCTTTATTGTGTCATACTAACCGCTCCTGTCCCAACAGCAAAAACGTCATGGGCCTTACTTGCACAGTACACGCTCATTACATAGATAATACACAAGAAAATATTATTTATTTAATTATTTATTCACTTATTTATTTATTTTTATACCCCGCAATAATGGCGTTTCAACGTGGGAACGTTTGCAAATGTGTCTTTGACGATTGCAATAGCTAAATGCGACTAATTATGCTCGCGCCTAAGCAACTATAGTTGAAAACTCGGCAACATGTCTAGCACAAGCTTTTCTTGCCATCTTACTTACGACAGGTGGCGACACATCTGCGCTTCGCTGCCTACCTCTGCTTTGCGGCAATGCTAATAGCAATGTTCTACGGCATCGGGGATGACGCGTCTCGAGTAATGAACAATCTGTCCTTCATTATACTTACACTGTCTCTACTGCTGTTCCAATCAACGATGCCTACAGCTATGCTCTGTGAGTATAAAACGTATTTTCCTGTTTATTTTAGTGATAGCAAAGCATTTCACTAAGTCAGTGAGTGATGTTCAATTTATTTGTATATTTATTTGTAAACTACTGCTCACCTAAGAAAGCTGCAAGAAGGAGTGGCCAAAGATGAAGGAATACGCAAATACCACACAAAAAAGTGATAATATGGCATGCTACACAATGAGGACTTTTCAATAGCAGTAATATCAAAACTTCTATTGATAATCACAGAATTACACAACTACTGTGATTGGATAAAGTAATTACAAAAAGACAAAACGTCAATCAAGTTAGAAACGTGCTGAATATTGTAAGTAAAAGCGCCTTTAAATAGCCATATAATAAAAGAATACAAGATCTCTTTTATAGTATTTGTTGTTATAGAATTTCTTTTAAATGCCAACTGAAGATAATGAGCCTGCTGATTAAGGGCAAGAACAGAGCGTTCAGGGGCTGACATTTTTATATATGCATTTTTCATCACACAACGCACTCGAGTGACAAATGTAGATGTAACTGTCTGTCAGCCATTAAGCATACCCTTTCGGGAATCTGGGCCAATAATCTGATACACCAGTGGATATATCATGCAGCTAGAGTAAACAAATGTGCAGTAATAAGTAGGCCGCGATAAATTGATTCAACGTGCATTTAATTTTCTTTCCTCGTTCCCAATGCCCTCAAAGAAATTTCAACAACCATTCTATAAAAAGAGCCACACAGAGAGGAGTTCAAAGAACAATCAGTCTAAACATAGGCGTTCATAACACAATCCGAGCTAGTTCAATAATCCAGAGCCTCCCACTTCTGGTAAGCCTCGTAATTAAATCGTGGCATCGCCACGTATAGCATTAAGTTAGATTTCAATAGTTCCATTAACAACTGAATGTACCCCTTCGAGCGTACGTTGTCACTGCTGTGGGAGTCATTACGACACGTACCAAAAGCTGTATTTTAGCATTTTTTTGCAAGAAAGTACTTAGTGACAACTATAAATAGGACATATGGTTATGCAAAAATTATATCAGACGCTTTGCACATATTGAGATCATTTTCAAAACTCATACTCATGACGCTGTGGAAATCAAATTTTGCAAAACATATGACGACTCTTCCGCATACGAAATTCACTTATGATTTTGCTTTCTCATTTTCTTTTATCATTACAGTTCCGACTGAGCTGAGCGTATTGCTACGCGAGCACAGAAACTGTTGGTACAAACCTGTGATGTATTACATCGCCAGATTGGCGACTGAGGCACCGTTCATGGTAAGGGGGTTTCGCAATATTGTTAGCCAGTTCACAGCATATTATTCTACAAACGCAACAGCTTAGCAGATAAGGTCTTTCCAGGGCGTGGCTACAAATTCTGCCCATGGTGGCCTCCTTTATTTGCACCAAAAAGTTACACCATTTTGTACCAGCTCAATGAAACAAAAAAGGATTATAGACTACTGGCTAGCTGCTTTGCATGGCCATAATTGACTTCCACAATGTGTCGCATCTGCCGGAAGTTTCATACACAGTATATGCTTTTTATGGCAACTTCTGTTTCGCTCAGCTCGATTCAGAGTAAGATGCTAACAAGCAAGCACTACTTATTCTTGATTTATGCCCGGTTTTTTCAATCAGGTAACAATTAATATTATGCCTCCACACCTCTGTTTTGTTGTTGCTATTCTTGTTTTGCTACAAACCCTCGAATTTTATTTTTGTCGGAGATATTTTAGTACGTATTTTACAAATAGTCACGGTCCCAGAAGATGAAAAACGAAAAATTCCGTCAGTAGTGTGAGTATTTATGGATTTACAGACATGACGTCAAATTAGTTAATCATGGAGCTGTAGTTAATGAAATGACAAAACTGGCAAATTTATTCCTTCTATGCCCTAGAGTGCACAAAATCTGAACCGACGTAGTATTTGAAAGTGTGGAAGCTCTTAAATCAACTTCGGGACTCCAACCCGAAAATGCCACCTTCCCGCCTCTGCCTTCCCAGTGGGGATCATTGAAGAAACGCTTCTCCAAGAACAAGCGGGTTTGATGTTGTTTTCGAGGTTCTATGAGAGATTTCGGATTGGTGTCGTCAATTGACGACACCAGGGCCGAAAGGCTTAAAAACAAAGATCTCAGAAAACTTCATGCCTTACAGAAGCACATAAATAATAAATTTTGCGTAAAAATTGACTACGTAAACTGGCTTATAGCAAAGCGCGGAAACTAACAAGGACAGGGAAGTAATACAGAATGAACACAAGTGCTAACTTCAGAATGATGACGCGCTACGCACGAATGATGGCGCACCACGTGAGAACCTCGTCGATGGTCCTTCGCACCTCATGTGAGGTGGTTCTCTGCTTTCTTTCTTTTTTGTAATTTTAACGTGAAAGCCTTTAATCTCTCAACCTCGCGGTGACAGACTTTCTCAGGACTCTGTAACTAGAGTCTACTAGAATATCGTTTTTTTTTTACACTGTGCTGGAACAGGTGCCAACTGTGGGAGTGCCAACGGACACCAGTCTTGTCGGTCGCACCTCGCACCACTCGCATTTTTCTGGCGTAGTCACTGTGTTCAGCGTGCCCAATCATGCAATGAGGGAGACGCGCCAAGCACCAATACTCCGGCATGCTCTGCCACGGCCGCTGGCTCTGCTAGGATGACACATCGTTTCTCGCAGTTCGGAGCCATCATTCGAATTACGCGAAGAAAAGTTCTGACGTGACGCAGCGCACGGACCATTCTTATGGCGCAACTGATGCGTTCACGTTCAGTATCGCGGGCATCGCGGTCTGTAAATTCGATGATGGATCTCCCAAAGTACGCGCTATATTTTCGATTTTTAACAATTAGGCCTGCCATAAATTTTTACGTAGAAAGACTTTGGCATATAAACAACCGCCTTAAAATTGTAATAAAGAAGTTCGTTTTTTTAATAAGTTATTTTGAGTGATCTAACTAGCGGCGAAATCTTTCCGCTTCGGCCTAGGTATTGGCTTTGAAGACGACAAGGGCCCAACTATTGCAGTTTTTAGAGAAAAATCTGCATTGATTTAAAAAACACTGATAAACTAAGTAAGCAAATGGTGCTTTACATACGTACGCTTTGAAATGAATGAATGAATGAGTGAGCTTTATTTGGACCAGGCTCTTTGTATTTCAGCCCATAAGCGTTTTTAAAACATTTTTTTATATAAGACAGTGAAATCACTCTCACAAGTACTAAGAAATAACGAACTTCCATTAGTGAAACACATGTACTTATGCGCGGTAATATATGAAACCCATCATATGTGTGTGCTTAAGTGCACGACGTGTCCGCTGTTATGTCCACATGAGCGAATACATCTTGTAAAGACCAGACGTGTGCGTTGCTATTTTGTGCCTGTTGGATTAAATGTTAACTGGAAACATCATCAGCGATATTATTCATTGACTTTCAAACATTTCCTTATCTTTGTGTTGGTGTTGACATATGCGTATGAGTGTTTTTGCGTATGTGTGGTCGGGTGATGTGTTTTACATGTACTGCTCTTGATTTTTGCTTAAAGATACGTGTTCAACATTCACTCAAGGGCTAAGGAGAAGCCGGCGCCTTACTTGAGCGCTAACATCTCCTTGTATATATATAATAAAAAGAGGACATTTTTTTTTCTAAAAAGAAGCTGTGTACTCTGCGTTCGCCGCTTTCGCGCATAATGTCTGCGTGAACGTTAGTCAATGTGTAACACTATACGCCTGCATTCCTGTAGCTCCTTGGACCAGCGGGAATGGTTGTGATCGTCTACTGGGCAACGTCGCAGCCGGCAGAATGGGACAGGCTAGCTTCTGTGGTGCTACTGTGTCTTCAAATGTGCTCAGTGTGCCAAGGCTTAGCCCTTGTAGTGTCCGCTTCATGCAGTGCTCAGGTGAGCTGAATGGACGCTGCCTGCTAGTACCCAAACCATAATTTTCTTCTGTTTAATGACATTCAGTGAACAAACTAGGTGTTCGACAAATCTATCTTCCGGTTTTTTGTCGGTTGTAAAGCCCGATAATAATGCGCATGTTCATTATTCTGTACCTGTACGTATGCTTTTGAGGCAAATACCTCGAGTAACTTGAAATATATGATCACTTCATCCACGGGGCACCTTTATAAGGCAGAAACGTGTGATCTTCATTCAGTGTGCACTCCTTTCACCCCGTTCGACATACGATTGAGGTGCATATTTGCCTCACTTGTGAAACCAGACACATTCTATGCGTTAGATTTTCCGGGGTAAAGGCCTGGAACGTGATTTACATTTCTGATGTAATTTTCTTCCAAATGATAAAGACACAGTCACCTGAAATGCGAAGTGCAGGCCAGATTTCACTAGGGCGGCTCTATCGCAGCCTTATAATTGTCCAAATAGAGGTGGCTTATGTAAATGCGTCATCTAGCAACACATAGAACCACCGTGCACAACTTTGAGCGTGTACTCGTGTGAACGCTGCACACACTTCATCCACCATGCGGACAGCCCGAACTGTGAACACTGCCAAGTGTGCGGAACGACTGCGCATATATTTAGTGGTTGCCTACTTTACGTGTCCGTAACGAAATGCACTCGCTTGCAACGCTGGCAGTAATAAGTGGGGCAACGCTTAGTGAAAGGGGCATTTTACCAGCTATGTATACATGTGATCAGACAAGATCAAAAACTGCTGTAAGTGCTGTAATAAGTTTCCTAAAAAGTACAGGACTGGACACTCGACTCTAACGAAGCCACGGTGCTGCGTTGTTATCGTATATACACACAACTTGTTTCAGTCTTTATCGTCCCCATTCATCACTTCTTTTTTTTCCCTGTCCCTCTTCGCCTGTTCAGATGAGTAGGCTAAAGTGAACTAGCTCAGGCCGACCTCTCTCCGCCATCAAATAAATCATCACTCTTTCTTTCTCGTGTGAACCAAGCAATCAACCTGCTCTTTCAGACGGCCCTTTTTGCGGCGCTACCTGCTGCATCGCCACCATTCCTGTTCAGCGGTTACTTCATGCCTCCGAAGTTACTTCACCCAGTGGTGTCCTGGGTGACACAATTGTCCCAAGTCCACCACGCACTTCACGGCATTCTGTACGCGATATACGGCAATGGTCGTGCCGAACTGCACTGCGACGAAGACACGTTCTGCTTCTTCGCCGACCCTGAACAGGTCCTTGTGGAGACCGGCGCTGAGGACGCCCGGCTATCTGTGAAGTTTGGCATTTTGCTAGCCTTGGACGTCTCCTACAAGGTCGTTGCCTACTTAATTCTCCGATGGCGTCTGAGAGATAAGAAGTAGCGTTTCTCTCGATAGACGTTCGTGCTTCCTGTCAGATAAGCTCGTGTCTGCACTGTATAGCTAGTCAGAACGGCTGATTCAACAGACAGCACGTGTCGGAATGCTTGCACATAGGTGTTATATCGGCTTTACACTTCGATCTCTGACGTAGTTTGGCGTGCCAAGTGTAAAGCTGTATGAATGTGCGCCTGATTACAAAAAAATTTTAAAATGAATGCGATAGCAAACACAGGAACGCCAAGCGACCTTAGGCCATCCTCGTTATGGCCGAAATTGCTTCTAGCGTTCGTATGACGCGATTTCGAAGAGTTCAGGGTATAAGTGTCTGTAGTTTTTGGGTATACTTATTGAATAAATGTTTCTTTAACCGGTTCTATGCGAAGCTGGGTTCACTGCTTGCGCCGTAATCGCCACTTTAGTAGAGCGAAAGCAACGACCTTCAGCAAGATGTCTATACCCAGCACAGCCGCCGCGCAAGCCAGTAGGTCCACATCCGCCGCATCGATTATGTCGAGAACGGTGTCTCCCCCGACGGGGACACACAGGACATCAGCGTCCACGTCTTCACCGCACGTCAGTTCGCCGCGTCTGTCACCGTACAGGGCGTACATGATGCCACGGTGCACGTAGTACAAGTGCGAAGTGTACGTGAGCCACCTGATGGCCGGGAACAGATGTCGTGGGCGCACGAAGAAGCCACAGAACAAGAACGAAGGCGTCGCCGCAGGAAGGCAAAGCATCACGGCGACCTGCACATCGAAAAGCCTGACCTGTAGAAACATCTAATCGGGAGTGGACGAAGCGGCGCGCCAGGACACCCCTGCGCGCACCGGTGCGATTGAATTAAGATGTCATAAGCGGCAATTCAGTCTTTTTGGAGGCGGACAAGAACGACAGCTGTACTTGTCCACCTCACCTTTTCGTGTTCGTATTTATATGCGTTTATTTGAGGAAGTCAAATTTCGCGATCAACCAGTTCAGCAGGTCCTACCGAAGGATAGAGTTATTTCTTAATATATTACTCATACGTTCTAACCAGTTGTCTGGATGTACCTCAAGGTTAGCCCTGTAGCTCCCATGCACAGTTATACATTAAACTCAAGAGAAAAAACTTTTGTTTTTCTGTGTAAAAAGTAAATTTGTAAGAAATTAAAGCAGTCAGTCTGAATTGGTCTTCTCATTAAAAATTTCAGCAAAGATATTGATGAAATTAGTTTGCTAACTCATCACTTCTGGCATGTGACGTCTTCTTATCAAAAAGTAACAGCAGGTCTTTTTGTGTGTCTCAATAAGCTTCGTTAAGAATGAAGACATAAAAGGAAAGGCAAGGAGGTTAACCAGTTCAAGATAACTAGTTTGTTACGCTACATGTGGGAACGGGATGGAGAAGATTGAAAGATGGCGAGAGAAGAAGACACAGCACACAATTAGGCATGAAGCTCACTCAAGCAAATATCATGCGTTCAGCATTACAGAGACACAAGTAGAGCCAGTCAGACACGCTCTCGCTTCGCTAAGTTTACCTCAGGACTAAAAGGAGTGGATGTGACGTATCCAATGCTTTCACTCGTGGAGGCGTACTGAATAGGAGAAAAGGATGACGAGAGCTAGGCGGTTGAACTCCATTGGTTGAGATGTCATCCAGTGCACGATGGGCATCATGAAGGCGGGGCCAAGGATCTAGTAACAGAATGTTTGAAATTATTTCAAGGCCCACATGACAGTCTCCTTGTCTGAGATACACTGAAATGTGATCAAGATTGTAGTTGTATTCAGCCTGATGGCTGAAAAACAGATGTTATTCAGTGCTGCTGAAAAAACTAAGCCTTCGATTTGTTTGTTTGTTTTTCCTCCTCGATACGACACTTTAGGGCGAAAACATTGACAGGCTCACTGCACGGCCCTTTGAGAGAAACACTGTTGTAGGCCCGTGTACTCAGATTTGGGTGCACGTTAAAGAGCCCCAGGTGGTCAAAATTTCCGGAGCCCTCCACTACGGCGTCTCTCATAATCATATGGTGGTTTTGGGACGTTAAACCCCCGAAATCAATCAATCATTGAGAGAAACACAGCTGGCGAACTAAATTGCACAAAAAGGCCACATGACCTACAGCAGTAATGATGTCAAACTGGGAAGGCACTATGAGTCGTCGTTACGAAGTCGCAGATGCTGAGTTTCGGACGTAACCGTGACGCTGCAGCGTGATGTCACATGACGACGTTATCACGTGATGTTATCAGTTGACATTCATTCATTCACTCACTCGTTCCTTCTTTCGTTCCTTCATTTGTTTGTTTGTTTGTTTGTTTGTTTGTTTGTTTGTTTGTTTGTTTGTTTGTTTGAAATTCATTTTTCGGCTATAAGCATGGAGTTACAAAATCATGTCAAATAAGAAGCTAACTTTGCATTGTTCTTGTACTACATGAACGAGACAAGTAACTTCAAGCATGCCAAAGCGTTTATCGGTCATTTGGAAAATTCATGAGGCGTTATTTACCCGTCTGTAGAACAACTAATGCGTCAAGAAAATTTGCTAATGCATCTGATTATTCGTGTCATGAATTGAAATCAACAACTGTGACGGCGGTGTAACCGTAAAATCGATCATAGCTTGCAGCAGAATAGGACTTAATTTGCTGGTGCCTTTAATTGCACTACCAGAGTACCAGAAACTATTGCATCATTTAATAATTTGAAGTGTTTGACTCTTCAGAATCACTACAGATATCAGTTGTCTTCGGGATTTTAATGGTTACAGCTGCACTCACCGTCATTGGCAGTTCGGAAAGTGCTCGTGACACAAAATAGAGGCCTGGGCTATACCAGCAATTTCTCTGCTCTCTTAGCAGAACATTGATCTCCAGAGGATCTGACAGAAATCAAAGGAGCAACAAATGAAGAAACAACTTGATGGCGTGGCAAGTAATGCCTAGAACTTCCACTAGGGTTAAAAAGCGCGGCATTCAAGAAGCCCACCCTATGTAGTTGTATGTTCAAAGGCACCCTGCCATGCAAAGCGTTATTTGTGGGCTCGTTGGTTCATGATCACTGAGGCAGAACAGCACAGAAAACGGGACGAAGAGGATAAGGTTTTTTTAGGTGGGCTCATTGGTTCATGTACACTGCGGCAAAGCAGCGTGGAAGACAGAACAAAGAAACCAAAAGTTCTCAGAAGGGCTAGTTGATTCTTGAACACTGTAGCAAAATAGCGCTGAAGACGAGACATGGAAGACAAGAAATCTTAGGTGGACGAGCTGTTTCATGAACGCTGTGGCAGAACAGCACACAAGACGTGACGAAGAGACCAATGGTTCTCAGGTGGGCTGGTCGGTTCATGAACATTATGTGCACAAGATGGGACGAAGAGAACAAGGGTTCTTAGGTGGACTAGTTGGTTCTTGAACATTTTAGCAGAACAGCACAAAATACGAGACAAAGAAGACAAGGGATCTTAGGTGGGCTAGTTGGTTCGTTAAAACTATGGCAGAACAGTACCGAAGATGGGTCGAAGATAACAAGAGGTATTGGGTGGCCTAGTTGTTTCTAGAACAATGTGGCAAAAACAGCGTTTACAATGGGATGATGAACCCCCCGGACACATTCCTGTGTCCTGAGTGCTCGTTGTCCCATTTCCTGTGCTGCTCTGCCACAATGCAACGTGACAAACTCACCCTGCACTCTTTGAAAAAACGCGTGTAATTTGTTAAGTTTCAAGTATACTAAGCGCTAAACTTCACATTTACTACCCAAGCTACCAGTAGTAAACAAAGGTAATAACTGTCAAGTCAATTATTTGAATATCATGACTCTTAGTGCATAGAGAGACTGATTGTAGTGAAGTGGTAATACAAAGTAACTTAATACCATGACAAGCCTAATATAAAAAAGTGAGATCATGTGGTTATGCCTTTTCAAGGAACTTCCAAGATAAATAGACACCACAGTTACATCCTTATATAACATTGTATAAGCGGAAGAATTGTTTACGAGAACACGCACGCATAATCAAATACAGAACGTCAACGCTTCTATGGCATACACACTGAAACAGCAAACGTAAGAATGTACATTGCCCTGTACACTTTAGCACAGCCCACGTTCCACAGGTGAGCTAATCATGAACTCCGATTTAATATTTGATGTTTTACACGTGGTTTCTTAAGCCATACTGCTTGCATATAGGTATGCCATCACGAACCCCTAACCTCAAAATTCCCACATACCGTAGACACTGGACAGATGTAGCAACGTTTGCTAATCCATATTGTACAAGTAGTAACCACTACCAACTAGGACTCCCAAAGTAATAAAGACATGTACAACCTCTAAAAAAAGAGAAAACAGCAAAATGTGCTGAAGTGTGTCCAGAAGATTGTAAATGTTAAAATTACAACTTTTTTTTTACTCGCCACTTTTTTAAGAGTACATGTGCGTCAGCGTTCCCAGAGCTCACTAGAATAAATGGGTACAAGCGATGCTCACATGTCAAAACATTTGCACCGGCGTATGCAAAGAGCAGCATCAGCATCGCCACGATGTACATCATGATGGTCTCCCTTATTTGCGACACCTTGTTGCCGGAATCGTAGTATATAACGGAGAGCATTAGGGCAAAGAACATGCAAGCCAGCATGCGCCCGATGCAAGTGGCCTGCGCTAGGAAGAACGAGAGTAATCATAACAACGGTTTCACTGAAACAACTAATAACAAAATACATATACAACCACACTTCCCGTTTATCTGTTCACTACTGAAACAAAGTTTTATGACTGAACATAATTTTTTTGAGGCTTACCTTTAGGACGGAGTATTCCATCAAAACAGTTCGTTATTTGTCATATCTTTTTTCATCACTGCTTTGAATTTGGGGAGAACAAGGGGAAGCCGTAGCTTTATGATGGCGCTTACGTATCATAAGCATCCCATAACTGACGGTAAATGAAGAAGACTCTTCAAATTTATACTTTTACGAACACTTCAAGAAAGTTTACGAGTTTGTAACAACTTGAATGTTTCATTTCCCTTGAAATATCTGATAACTCGCACTCTTCATGCTCATTAAAAGGAACGTTAAAAGGACACTGAAGGCAAACGTTAAGTCGATGTTGATTGCTGAAACAGCACTCCAGAAACCTGGTAGTGCTACTTTAGTGCGAAGGCAAGTGCTTGTTTTGAAATTAAATCACGTTTTAGTAGTTCGAATCACGTTAGCCAACTTCAAATCCCCGCCTGAAAGCGGTCCGTTTCATGTCACAGGTGGCCGTAATCAATGTTGCCCGCGTTTCTGCACGACCACCGACACTATAGTAAGAGCCGAGTGAAAGTATAGGGAGCTACAGCAGCAACAACGGCACAATTTTCTGTCATGGCCTCCAAGATGTTGAGTGCGCGGTGTGTTTTGTTTAGTTCAGTTGAGCCCCGTTAGATGGTGCCACCAATTCAGCCTAACCAGACAAAAACGGAATTTTGAACCACTCGAGCCATTCTCCATAGTAACGCCAAGCAGTTATTCCTATAAATCGAACAGAAAGGGACAAGCAGCATTTTATCACACCTCTTGATGCACGGAGGATTCTTTTTTATTGCAGCTAGTTTGATTAGTAGTGATTATTGTACTCTCATGCACTGGCGTCATTTGGATCATTGTCAAATCATCTCACTCCTGGGGCCCACCATGTGGTACACTTAGCTTAATTTCTCGGTAAGTTGAGCAATGCTGTTGATAATATTGCCGTTTTAGAATATGTCATACATTGAGTTTTCCCTCTGACATAAATTGTTATTTGCCATTAGTGCCCTTTTAAGCCTTTAGGTGAGCAGTTATTCTGGTTGTTGTGGGCGCTATATTCTGACTCTTAACAGACATGGTGAGAACACTTAATCCCAATGACTGAGTTTCCAAGCTACGATTACGGTTCTTGTGGCATAAGAACGCACATAATAGTAAGTTCACTGTGGCTTCTGTTAACTACTAGGAGATGGAACTGTACGAAATAAAACACGTGCAATTTGTATGCTTTACTCACAGTCGCCGGCGTGTGCGTGACGTTATATTTGTTTAAGTACGAATGAGATAAAGAATGCTTGCAATACATTAGTGCAGCACAATAAAGCATACTAATGATCTACCACGGATTTCTCGATTTCAACTATGTAGCCTACTTGTGGTAATACGATTCATACTAGTTTTCCTAGAAACTACATTTGAAGAACCACTGATTCCTTCTAATAGCATGATCTTTACGGCAACTTATAACCATCACCATTATACTCATTATCATCCACCCATCTTATATCCACCAAATGATTTCAAATGTAATCTCTTCTGCACGAGCTCATTCCATTTTTAGCGGCAAATTTGCTAATATCGTCGCTCCCTCTAACTCTTTGCCATTCTCAGCCGCGCTTTTGATTTCTTGATATCTATTGAACCACTCTAACACCGGTATCATACGACTCTTTGCCAATAACATTATGTCCGACTGGACTCAAAACAGAGATTGGCTCCCTTCTGCAGCTTTTGTGAAGGAAGTCGAGCACAATCAAGAAGTTCGATCTGGATTGTACTCAATCACGATCAGAACTGACCATCTGACACCGGAGTAGCACACATCGCTTAGCTGTCCTCCTCATGACCTGCAAGTTATACATTTTTTCCCTATCTCAATGTCTGCCTAAACATCGGTTACACCTCTGCATTTTCTCATCAACCCTGCCGTCTTCCTGCCTCCCGTCGTTTTTCGTTTCATTGCACAATGAGTAGCATTTAGCTCATTCTCGATTTTTCTAAGTTTTCTTTTATTCCGATAATCAACATACCTTGTTTCGTGTGACACACAAGAAGCACCTTTTCATGAGTATTTTGAACTGCTTCCAGTAGCCCAATCGTACTTCATACTGCCGCTTCATTTCCTCTTTTTCCTATTAAAATGATAATAAAGACGTATATAGTACTGAGTAACATCGTAGAATCAGTTATATTCATATTGAAGTGAAGTTTTTTTTTTTGTTTCACACAAAGTGGAAACCGGAGTCAAAAGCTGGAGGGCCTGACAAAGTCCTCGGCTCCCTTGTACAGCCTGACATAAATAAATGAAAACACATAATGGCAGAGCTAGCTGCATTTTAAGCATGCAGCGTAGGCAAGATACAAAACATTATAAAGACACGCACTGATAACAAATACAAACTTATGCAAAAAAAATCGGGATAGGGTAGACATTTCTACGTTTACATTTTGAATAATTACAATGCAACATTGAAATCAACATTCGTCCACATTTTATTAATAGCCACAGTTACCTGATAACTTAATTTTTGTTTACCATAGTTTGTGCGCGTCTAAGAAACCGGGTGTATTTGTTTTCGAAAGTGGTATGCATCGTTAGACAAAGTGAAGTATCGGGTGTGTAGTTGATTGTTCTTAATATACTGCAACAGTCAAAAGAGGTAGACTTGGTTCACTTTAGGCAAATCGTAAGTACAGAACAATGACGCCGTGCAAAAATGCTTGGTTATGCCCGGTACCCATGAATGCATCGCAAAGTACTCTTTATGTATATAGGTCATTCCATATCAAGTCTATTTCGTCTATTATCAAATCTCTCGCATCATGTTCAAAAAGGTTGTGGGAATATATGTGAATGTTACAAGTAGTTATGAGCCGTTATATTTCGCAGAAAAATTTTGCGATGCCCAGAGGGCACTTCAAACTTTGGCCACGTCAGTGAAAGCGTGTGATGCTAAATAATTTATATAACAATGACGGTTTGAGGATTCAATATGAAACATTTTTGTCGTTGATCTTACAGGCCTACACTTTCATGAATATGACAATTTATTATCTTTTACTTTTCGTTTCTGTTTCACTTTGGCGAAAATTTGCAATATTCTGTATGTTTAGCCTTTTTTTACAAAAACCACAAATATTTTTCGCCAGTAATATACTTACATTTTCCGCTTTATATGTTCCTATAGTAAATGAATAAATACCTTGGGATAAATGAATAAAAAATGTTGTCAAAGTATTGAACCATAGAAGCCACCAAGAGAGAGCCGCTAAATACGATTGTTTCTATGTCAAAGCATCAACTCGTCCAACAGTCAACTCTTTTCAAAACAATGTGACAAAGTTAGGAAAAACTGCATTTTGACTAATATTGCAGCCTAATTTTCGTGATCTAGCGGTACAGACAAAATATGGCTTTTATATTATTGCATAGTCTAGTTCATCAGTAAAAGCAGCAGAAAGTTTAAGAAGAGCAGCTTTTGTTTTACCTTCACTGCATAGCATGCCAGGGCGAGGATTCATCCGGGGTTTTTCGGCAGCGAACGATGCATGTCATACAACTCCTTGTCAGTTGCTATTGCGATAGCAATTATATGCAGTCTCGGTTGGTTTTTGCTCTCGCCGCCACCGTCATGCACTGTATATTTACACGAATATATATATGAAAACTTAATAACGAAAAAAAGCTGCCCGCGCTAGGCACCCAGCTCGTCGCGATGCACCAAAGCGCGTCTTATAAGATGCTCGTGCGTGTGCGCTTATCCGTCAGTGGGAAGAATCGTCTGCCTTGGCCTTTCACCGAAACGATTGCGTTATATAGTTGCCTGGGCCACAGAGGTCACTTCGCTCGCTAGGTAGGCAGGCCCCGTTTGCGAAAAGAGCACTCTTTTCAAACACAGCGAAGTAAGAACTGGGACACTCGTTAGTTCGCACTCATATCTGTATATGTGATTACATATAGTGCGTCATTTTTGTTTAAACAGCGCAATAAGTGCCGAGCTGTAAACGTTGTTAGTTCGCTCTCGTTTTGTGTGTGTTGTTTTCGTGCGTCTTTTGTGCTTGAGTAGCACGCTGCACGTTTCAAACTGTCAGCCGTTCTCAGCGATCCACTCCAAGTTGTTGCTATCGCATTCATTGATTCGTCCTTGTGGCGAACCTGTGATTTTTTTTCTTAGTAATACTGCTGTATATAACGCCTAAATGGGGCATTAGTGCTTTCTTTATAAAAAAGTATCTTGTCCTTGGAACCATCAAAGGGCAGCGGCGTTACATTGAACCGCTTCTTAGTCCCAAGGGGCAGAATTATAATGCAGTCGATGGCCAGTAATATAGTATTGGGGTGTTCTGTTTTACTTCTGATGAATAATAAACATGCCCCTAATGATAATAAACACTATAATCAACGTCATAACGGAAGTGATATCATCTAAGCTCTTTTTATGATATTTCGGGTATAGGCCGATGCGTCATCTCTTAACACTGGTGTGCATGATGAAATTATGTATCCTAGGTGTACACGTTGAAGATGACTTGATGTTAATGATAGCATTCAAAGGTATAGCAGATCCAAGACGTGTATTAACGTGTCATTCCTTTGAAACGTCGTGGATGCGTCATAACTTTGTGAGCGTAGCATATACCGAAAAACTACGTAGTCAAGCTATAGGAGTGTGCGAGAAACATCCGAGCAATGTTTAGGGAGGCATATATGCGATAATTTGGGTATATTAAGTAAGAGGATCTCCGAAACAGCCCTGGCACGCTTGCGAGAAATGCGATAAGCGCCCTTTGAACCAATATTAGGTGCAGGTTAAAAAACTAAGATGGCTCAAAAGACATCGGGAAGACGACCGATGTACTTACGGAATTCCTCGAAATCTCACTAATCTAACTGTGCCTTTACCCACTCAAACGAACTGATAAACTTGTTTACATGCTTACCTTATCACTCATTATTCGTCCACCATAGCTGGTGAGGGACGATGATTCAGACGTATTCTCGCTGTTCACGGGGATGTCATCAGGAATGAAGAGACTTGATAACTTGGTCGTCATCTCTCCGTGTTCGCCAAAAGCTATCTCTGTAACTGTATAATGGGCAAGAAATAAATTTTTTGACGGTGTCATACCGACCGAGTAAATCATTTAAAGTTCACTTTCCTGCTTTTTGTACCCTGTGCTCGGCAAGTTGCTTCTTGGTCGTATCACGAGTTTGTATCCCCAGCACAGCCACAGGCAGGCTTTGTAGCTTCAATAACCTCAACTGTAACAAGCGGCAGGACTGGTCGGCATGGTTATCAACAAAATTTATGCGAGAGGCATATGTAGGTTATAGCATCGCAAAGGCTTCCTTTTCCGATGAAGACATGCGCGTCGTACATATATAATACCGGGTGTTTCAAAAAATTGTCCGAAAATTCTCAGAATACAGCGAATACCGGTATTTCTTCCACGACTTCCCATTTGCCTCTTTTGTAACCGCATGGCTTCTTTATATGGCTAAACAGATCATTTTGGACAATAGTTAGGAAATTAAAGTTACCTGTTTAACTATAGTGGAGCCACGTGGTTTTATAAAATGGGGAAATTCAAGCCCATCATGCAGAGCCCATCACAGTTTGGAGATTTCGAAGAAGCGGCTTCTACTAATTATTGTGAAGTGATGAAATTCCCGAAATTTTAGAGACGAAATGGAAGCGCGAAAAGCGAGGCTGTCGTATTCTGTTGAGACGTCCAGAATGAATGAGCGTTGTTATATAAACTCTCAACCGACTCCGCTGTGTGGGTGCGTGGCCGCGCTTGCAATGATAGTACGGATGACACACATACGTTAACGAACACAAAAGACTTACAACTCTCTTAACATTGTCTTGAAAAGTGACGTCACTCTGGTCGTCTGCTTGCACCACTCACCTGTGCTCGAGTTCTATTTACGCCAGTGATTTTCGTTGAATTACATCACACCACGAAAATTCCTTGACGCCGCTCCTTGTATGTCTCAAACCTCCGATGGTTTCTTAGCATGAAGAGCCTTAATTCTCCTATTCAGCCTAAGTTCCACTAACTAGAAATGCAATTGTCTATCTTTGCAAATTACTGTCCCAGTGATGCCTTTTGATATCATAAGATGACTTGGACGACGACAAAGTGCCGGTGCGGCAGAATGCCGAATGTTTGAGTTCCATGGTTTTTGGTGAACAATTTTCATTTCGCCTGTCAACTCAGTCTCCTGCTTGTGTGCGATGGAGGTAGAGCCCTGCGGAAGACTTCCGGACACTGAAATGACCACGGGTGTTGCTTCCAGGAAGCAATACAGCTCCGAGAGCGGCACTGACAGTGATGGCACCAAACCTTATACTACGTCAGCATTGATGAATCAAGGGACGACAACTTCGAGCTTGTGAGAAACCACAAGGGAAAGAGAAGGGAAAGAGGGAAAGATTTCTGAGCACGTCACCCAATTCGAGTGAGCCCACCATGCGATCGTCGCAGAATACCAAAGTATTAACCATCCTTTTCGAGCCAGTTCTCGCTGTTAAAACATGAGACGCCTTAACCGGCAAGCCATGTCTGTACAGATGAAGGACTGGTACCGAATGAAGTAAAGGAAGTAAGAGTGAATAACAGCAAGAACATTCTAGTGATTGACGTCAATCAAGTGACTGCACTTGACAGGTTGCGTGAAGTAACGGAACTTAGTGGGATGAAATCTGCTCTCATATACCGCTGGGCAAAGTATTCACTGGGGTGATATATTATGTTGCTGAAGCCATTACCAACTCGGACCTACCAGTCTCGATTAGGCCGGCTTCGGAAGATGCCATTATTACAAGTATATGTAGTATCTGGAAATCACGATGCGTAGGAATTACATTTAAGGGCGAATCACTTCCATCACACGTAAAAGTGGGCCACTTCCGACACGCAGTTCGTCCTTTTATACCGAAACCACTTCAGTGCTGAAAGTGCATGGAGTTAAAACACGTAAGTGTTGTGTTCACGAACTCTACTGTCTGTTCTCGATGCACTGGGCACCACAACAAGGACACGTGCCAAGCCACGACTCTGAAGTGCTCAAATTGCAATGGGCCACATAATGATTCTTCGAAGGACTGCCCTTTTATTCGAAAGGAGCTAACAATACTGAAAAAAAGGGCTAGAAATGACATCTCACACCGAGAAGCAGTCGCATTCATTACGCGACAATGGTCCCGTCACCGGCACTGCACCAAAGCCACCAAAACCTCATCGCCTCGCGAAGCACGTCCAAAACCAGCTCCACCTCTCCCACTCTGGCCAATCGCTGTCGGTTCTAAGAACAAAGGTGCTTCTGCAAGCAGTGGAGCTGACGCTTCATCCTTATCACCCAGTCAGAACGCAGCTGTTTTAAAGGAAAATGATGCCTCTACCAGCAATGCAGGTGACGCTTGGCCCGAACTCCCTAAGATACATGCGCCTGATGGGAGGCATCAGACTTCGACAGTGAGGGACGCTGCATCGGTACCCCATAACATGACTGACTAAGGACAACTTATCGGCATGGTCAGCACCATAGCCAGTGCTATGCGTGTGCTTCTGAGCAAGATGCAGTCACCGACAGCTCAAAGCGTGTTGCAGCTGCTTGACACCATCGCTGTAGTTCTCGCAAGCCTTTAGAAATCTGCTGCTTGAGAACACTAGTGCCACCATCATGCCTTCACCATCCGCAAGATTTTGGGTGCATGGAACCGCGCATACAAGTTAATGCAACGAATGTGCTCAATTGATTAAGACACGGATGCGACTCCCCATCTGTGATGTCAAGCACATAACTTGCGGTTTGTCGGCGGCATGATTGACATTTCTCTCTCTCTCTCTCTCTCTCTCTCTCTCTCTCTCTCTCTCTCTCGAGAACTTTTATTCCCCTTACCCCCTCTTCAGTGCAAGGTAGCCCACCAGGCTCAGTCATGGTTAACCTCCCTGCCTTTCTTTCATCCTTATTTTCTCTCTCTTGGGATAACTTAGGCTACGGAAGATGTATTTGTGAAGGCATCGAACAAATATCAGAATTTCCTGATTTCTGAAAAAATCTGACATTTTCTCGAAGCACCCAGTACGTCCGTTTATTTACATACAAATATGACATGAAGCAGTGCAGCTTGACGCGTATTCTGCTTTTTTTTTATTCATTTATTTATTGATTTGTGTACATGCCTCGGGGATCCACTGGATTAGGAATGCATAAAACTGATAATTATAGATAATATTACGTATTATAAAACAGGATAAAAGGGTATAATGCATGCACATGATTTCAAAATACATTAGAAGATTGCATGAATGTAACTGTAGAGTAAATGTGATCACTCGAGTAAGAGCCACAAAAGTAGTCCAAATATATAAGATTATACAAAAAATACGAATAACACAGAAATACACGCACAAAAATAGAAATACGATTGATACGAATTGTACAAAAAATACTACCCAAAACATCATTCAACGTATAAACAAGAATCATATATACATAGAGAGTGTTTCACCTAAAAAGCCTCAAAGAATAAAAAATAAAAAGGAGTGCTACGCGTCTCCAGCTAGTGCAGTATTGCCCTTAGCTGTATGTAGGACGTCAGAATATTTTTTGGTCCTCCAAGCAGGATAATTAACAACGATCGCTTAATGAACTTTTTAAATACTGACTCTACAGGAAAAATTTCAATACAACAGTTGTAGCTCTTGTTCAGAAATAACAAATGTTTGGGTTATGGTAAGGTAACAACGCTGGTTAATTTTTTTCCTGGGTTTATTTAAAGTGGGCGAAATTTTTAAAAAATACCGTGATTGCCGCCTAACGCGCAGCGCTTTGAGTGCCCTGAAATATAAGTTAAACGAATTAGCGAAGGCTTCTCACGCACGAAGGTCACTTAAACAGGCTATCAGTGACTACGATGGACATTAAGCAATAATTGTATGGTACCATTAAAAAAAAGGGGGGGGGGGGGGGCGAAAGAAAGAAACGAAGACAATGAACTTCGACGAAAAAGCAGCTGCCACATGCATTTCGATACAAGACTGGAGGCCGCATTCGGCGCAGCGCAGACGTTCTTCTTTCTTCTTTTCGGGCCAACAATAAACACGATGGTGGGGGAGAGGGCATCTTTAGATGCACTCATACAGGAGAGGGAGGAGTTGAGCTATGCAAATTGCCTTCGCGTACCGATCCTACAATGCAGCATGAGCTCACCTAGCTGAATAAAATTATTCCAGCGCCCTCTTCGTTTCCATGCAAGGCACCTTTCAGGCTCGTTGTGTGACTTAGGGCATTAGCTGTCGTAAAACAATCAAAGAACCACTTACTCAAGTCAGATGGACTGCTGTGCACAGGGCAATGAAACTTGTGAGATTCCAAAGATTCCAAGAATGGTGGCAGCTGCGCCACTGAACCATTGTATATGCATTTTCCTTCGGAGAGCATGTAGAGCTGAAAAGGCCAAATTGTCAAAAAAATACAGAAGCTTCGGCAGTTTGCAATTATAGAGCGCTTATTTTCTTGAAACTTTTCCTGAAAAGTAATGCATCATTGCTGTACCGTAATTCTAGACTCTTTTTTTTTACAGCGAAAGCTGTTATAAAATCACAATATGGGTCGCGTGCGCACCGTAGTTGTCCGCCGCCGCTGGTGTCCGTAACCACTACTGCACCAAATAAGTAAAAACCTCAGTAAATAAAAAACACCAAGGACACAATGGGATTCAAACCTGTCTCCCTTGCGTGCCAGCCCAGTATTCCAACACTGAGTCACGCCGGTACCTGCAACTCCTTTGCAAACTTTATGGCCTTAGGCAGGCTTGATTTCGGGAAAAGAATCGCGTTAATATGTGTAATAAAGAGTTTTAGAACAGCGAAACAACAACCAGGTGTTCAATAATGCGAATTGCGACACTAGTAGGTCGTCGAATGCTTCTATTCTTTACAAAAGCTTGATCTTGTCCACCTATTATCTGTGGCGCATACCCACTGTGGGGGGAATTAGGGGATTACAAAAGCTTCTGGCATTTTTCTTCATCATCGTCTCCCACAGCACACAAATCACACAATGATCCGTGCCAGTGTGCAGTGGGTACCACGCTTTCGAAAGAATGGCGAAGGATGGCACAATGCTTGCCTATTATGCAATGATTGATGGCGTAGTGGGTACCCTGCAAGTGTGCTTGCAGCAGCTATGCAAAGAGTGTTAAAAAGAAGGCTCTGAAAGGCCGCTCTTCCTGCTTTCGCTGTGACAGTGGTGTGCGTTCCACGCAGGCCCGCCAGTTTGTTTTTATTTTTTTATTAAAAGGAAGCGCTATTTAGTATTAAATAAGTGTTGAGCATAAGCGGTGGTAAGTGTTTTGTTATTTGATGATCATTTGTTGAAAATGTCGAGGTTTCTGAACGTTGTTTTCAGTGCGCGCTGAAAGGTGCACGTAAGCATCGCGTTCGGTCTTCTGCAATTCTTCATAAAGTCACCTGCATTTGGTTAGGCAATAGCAGCTGCTAGCGTGTAGCTGCAGCAGCATGTTTATGAAAACCTGGAGAATTCCGCAGAATAGCTTCAGCGTTAAAACAAACTTATCTTCAGTTGCAAGACGCTTGTTTAGGAAAGGCTATCGGTATTCCATTTACATGAAATCTGCAGCGCAAAAAGAAAATACATAGTTATCCAGAAACAAAAATCAACAAGAAAAACGCATGTACAAAACTGAAACAAATAAACAATATTATGGCAATGGGCAGTTGGATGGCGGGGAAATAAAGCAAAGGGTTCTTTACACGCGTACAGTGTCAATTTTCATGAAAGGGAACACGGCGCCTGCGCGCTCCGGCGGCTGCTGGCAGCGCGTTCAAGCGGGAGCGATAGCAACGAGTCTCTTTACGCGTTATCTCGCAGTGAGCAGAACAACCATTCGTTGCTGATATAGAACGGCAAGCTTGCAACCCCTCCCCCTTCAAGACGATTAATAGTTCTCGCGTAATCGCGTTGAAGGGGGAGGGGGTCGCAATTTTGTTTCTGGTTCCATATCAGCAACGAATGGTTGTTTTGCTCGCCGCGAGATGACGCGAGAAGAGTCTGCGTTTGCTCTCGCTCCCGCTTGAACGCGCTGCCAGCAGCCGCCGGAGCACGCAGGCCAAGCGCTCCCGTGTTCCCTTTCATAAAAATTGACACTGTACATTTTAAAAACCCGCGTCTATATATGGCATATACGAAACGTAAGCATAACGTACATGACTACATATTGCTATTCGAGACAATAACGCGTATATTTGCAGTATTGTATCAGTCATCATCATCATCAGCCTGACTAAGTTTATTGCAGGACAAAGGCCTCTCCAATGTTCCACCAGTTAACCCGGTCCTGTGCTTGCTGCTGCCAATTTATACCCGCAAACTTCTTAATCTCATCTTCCCAGCTAACCTTCTGTCTCCCCCTAACCCGCTTGCCTTCTCTGGGAATCCAGTTAGTTACCCTTAATGACCAGCGGTTATCCTGTCTACGTGCTACATGCCCGGCCAATGTCCATTTTCTCTTCTTGATTTCAACTATATATGATATCCTTAACCCCCGTTTGTTCCCTAATCCACTCTGCTCTCTTCTTGTCTCTTAACGTTACACCTACAATTTTTCTTTCCATTGCTCGCTGCGTCGTCCTCAATTTAAGCTGAACCTTCTTTGTAATCAGTATCTTGCCTCATTTCTTGATAAAGTTAAACATTTTACTTGTGAATTGATTCCGATGGTTCTCAAGAGAACTTAGCATGGCAGTGATGCGCAAATCGTTCACACGCCACTTCCAATGTTCGCTGCGACTGGGAGTATACGGATCATCGCAGGTGTGCCTGCTTCAATTGTGATCAATATCCCTGTTCACTATCACTTTTTATAATTTTTTTCGTATAAATCATTGCAACTGAAATGAAGAAACACAGTATACTTTAATTTAAATTTTTATTGGAGTTTCTGGGCACATTTTACTTGTAATTTACCAGTCAGGCTTAATTCTTAGCAGTTAAAAGTGTCTGCTTAGGCTTAGATTTATTTATTTATTTATTTATTTATTTATTTATTTATTTATTTATTTATTTATTTATTTATTTATTATACGAAAACTCTTCAAAAGGCGATAGCAGGATTTGGATAATGTAATATACCGTACGTGCAAAATGTAAAAAAACATGTTTAAAAGTAAAAACATAGTTAAAGGCACACTGAGTGACAGTCGCAACTTCTTTCTTCGGTCAAAGGACGGGCCATACTAGATAAAGCATTCTAAAGTTCAATAGCCTTGAGGAGAGAAAACTGTACATAAAAATATCACTTAAACTTTAGCTCATTACTGCTCCATATTAGAACAGGTTTTGCGCGCTATAGATACGCATTAGTGTAGGAGTAATGAGCCTTTGATGCGAGTAGTCAAAATATGAGGAGGGATTAGCGTACTATTACTTACGTTGTCAAATTGAGAGAACAGGCGGGCACTCGGGTTGTGTATCGAGCACAGCACGGTGCGTCCGGAAGCAGCGAGTGATTTCAGCACCTTAACACAGCGCAGCGCCGAGCTGCTGTCAAGGCCACTGCAAACGTTTCAGACATCTTATTTCAAGAAAAAAAAGTATTCATTCATTCATTCATTTATTCATTCATCTATTGAATTGACTTTACGTCGGCAACGTTAACTTGGTCGCGTGCAATAAATGGTTAAGTATAGCAACATAAAATAAATATGTGTTATGTACGAAGACTTCTATATCATGCATGTGTACTTATGCAAACATAAATGATATCAGGTAGACAAATAGTAAACGAGCACGTGATTGCACTCACACGTAACACTTCGAACGCACAACCAATGGTAAGTGATATGGACAAAATGAATACAAAGTAATGGGAAACGCATCCGAAGACGGCAGAGGGCTACGTATACGGTGATGAAATGAGCAGGCATGAAATGGAATCGGCTCACACAGAACAGTGCGTATAGAGGATGCCCCTATTTCGAATGCCACTTTGTTACTTTGTGCAGACGGGGTGCCTAATACTAAGGCGAGGCAGAGACTGTCCTAGGAGAATAACGAAGGTAAAGAGTTGAGAGGCCCGCAATGGTACTGCTCAGCATACGAATTAGCCGAAGCTGCCTAGCTGCACCGACATTAGGATAGTGGTAGCACTCTTATTACCTCCTTATGTGAACAGCAATAGATATCGCGTGGGAAAATGTACGTCGGATAACGACAGCTATTCAGTACAACCGTTTGCCGTCGTCGACTGAATTGTTGTAATTATACGACTAGTGCCAAAAGGCAGCACCCAATGACAGAAAAAAGTAACGCATGAAGACAGTCCATTTTTATCGTTATCTCCAGTCGTTCTACTTCTAACCATTCTAGCTAGCTCAGTATCCCAGGATGTCGTAGTTCATTCTCTTCTTCGCAGAGATACCTAAGCCTAAGTAGATAGAACTACTACAGCTGCACCATGGGTATACACTCAACCGTTTATAAACAACGTAAACCATAAGGAGAGTGCGACTAACCTGGTCGGCTCATCGAGCAATATCACCGGTGAATTACCGATAAGCTCTTGTGAAATGGCCAGGCGCTTCCTCTCTCCGCCAGAAAGAGATCTAGTCAACGTGTCTGCGCATTCATCGAGGCCCCATTGCTCCATTACTTCGGTCACCTGTATCACAGAAAAACAAAAAAAGGGTTTTCTTTCATTATCTACTTCATCATTCACAGTAAATGCGCACTCAATTTTTCTTCACTGTTAACGTTATGAGCCCTAAAACCTTCTCTGATGGTGGCGCTGACAGGAAGCCGCTGCGAATACTAGTGACTGATGCTGTCTTATAGGCCACTTTTTAACCAAGTGTGATTAAGAAGCCTTGATGACAATACAGAACAAAATGACAATTTATTTTTCATGTGAATGAATAAACAATTTTTTAGTAGCCTCGGTATAACTGTTATTACAGTTTGTCTTTTAAAGACGATGTTCATTCGGTAAACTCTTACACAGTATACTTAATGTATGTGATGAAAAATACTGACAGAATAACACCGCCGCATATACTTCAGGAAAGTGAAATATCCTCTTTCCCTCACCACGTATTTAAATATTTTTAATGGTTCAGATGATAAACGTCTGTTACAGCACCAAAACGGGTGGGGCGCAGAATCTTCAACATACAAAAACCTAATGTTCCTTTAAATTCGTTATATATACTTCCTACGCAGCGAGACCCATTAGGTGAAAAGCGAGACCCACTAGGTGAAAAAAACAGGCTTTTATCTGTTCGAAAGAAATGACAATGTCGACCACAGGGGCTCCGACTCCTCGTCGGTGTCCTCCATCACCAATATATCTTGGTAGAGGATCATATCGAGTGACAGAGCTGTGTCTAAGCCAGATAAGTGTGACTGGTCAAAAGTGCAGGCGCAATTTATATCACGTATGCACGCTCAGCCAAATAAGACCCAATGTTAGGCATCAAACAAATGAAGCCCATCATATAACTTTTGTGTGGATTTTAGGGAAAATACAATCTGCCTAAATGGATAGTATATAGGAGAGACTTTCGTTCTGCACTGAACGTAAAAAGCAGGATGAGTAATTCCGTTAGTACTTTATCTTTTTTCTGTGTCACTCGATTTCCTGCTACATTTGTATTTTATACGTTGCGACTCGTCTAGAACTTTCTGAATTCATCAGCAGGGAAGGTTTCTTATAACTTCTGGGGCAAAATCGATCGATTAATTGATTGATTGATTGATTGATTGATTGATTGATTGATTGATTGATTGATTGATTGATTGATTGATTGATTCTATAGTCGGCGAAGTATTTCACACTGAAAACTTGTTCTGTTTTATACATTTATGTGTTCCTAACTATTCCTCTAACAAGACAAAGAAACGGACGAACGTACACAATTTTTTTTCTTTAGTTTGCGTAGAGATGAGTATGCTTGAGTTTGCTTACGCAATAAAGAACTCACGAGGAGGGCAATGTTCTCGCCTCGAATTGTCGAGGTCCTCAGCTCCAAGCTCAAGGCGATAGCTTCGCGTACAGTCAGCTCTTGCAGCAAACAGTCGTCTTGCATGACGTAGCAGCTCTGCATATTGAACAGTTCCACGCTTCGGAGGTAGCCATTCACGTGTACTTCACCTTCGTAATCCTTGTGGCTGGGGAAAAAATGCAATACATCAGAGCACTTCTGTTTCACTTTCGTTATAAGAGAAAAAATTTAGGACAAATGTCTTCTCCAGATACAAGCTCATTATAAAACCACAACTTTTTTGTCTTTTCATGATTTTGTTGTTGGCGTCGTTTTCGTAGGAATATATTGGTCATTTTTACCGTTAAATGAGCATCATGTCGTGAAATTAAAACATTCATGGTTGGGCATATCGCCCTTTATACATGATTTTCTTCTTCCACTTACAACGTGTCTACTGCATCTGTGAACTGTAAATTTACCCAAACGAGTTGCAATACAATACAATAATAATTATTTTCTGCGTTTAGTTTTTTTTATATTCCATACAATAAGAACATATATGGGTGATAACTCCTTCAAACGATGCGATATACAGTAAAATTTTCGTGTTACGAATTTAGCGGGGTCACCAAAAATATTACTATGATCGAAAATTCGTATCGCCAGAAAGCATGGAGAATTACTATGTGACAAAAAAAACTTTGTGAAAGAAGCTGGCATGGGTTTTCATTTATTATTTCTCTGGGTCATAGCAATGTCATAAACAGCCCTGAATGATTGCGAGTAACATGTTTAGATGTTAACGAACATACTTGTACTCGTAAATATCACTGTTAACAATCACACTTGCACTCGTAAATCACGCGTGTGCATGTGTTAATTAATCAACCAGATGCATTGTGGCCAGCAACAGCTAGTATCCCCTTCCTAATAATTGCACGCTTTTCTGAATGACATTACACAGCGAAAGTGACTTAACAAGCACTTTGTACGTGATAGATAAGGGGTAAAAAGTTTTAGGTCCACTGTTCTTTGTTCTTATTGGTTTCTTATTGCGGTGGTGCTGGGGAATCGCTTCAGGACACTTGCGGCCGTACCCGTAATTTCGGTAAGCTCGCTGAAAATTTGTGAGCCGCTCGCGCAAACCGGGAGAGTTTGCATGTTTGTACGTCGCCTACAATTGTGCTTGTTGGCGCATATTGACGTTGAACACAACACTTGAACTAAAAGCAACGCCATCTGTCTAAGGTCGCCATTCCACATTGAACTCCACGGCCAGACTAGAGGGAAACGATATGCGCTTCGTTTCTCCCTGTTACCCAACCGAGTCCTTCTTTTTCCCGGAGTTACAGCCAGGCGAGGCAGCTAGGCGTTCGTCGCATAGCTTTTTTTGGTACGGATAGACGCTATGGGCGAGGCCAACGCTTTGCAAACATGCATCGTACCAACCATATATACAGGGGAAGCCCGTATCAGTCTCAGTTGGCATACCGTACGCAAGAAAGAAAATCGCTTGTGTTGCGGAAAAAGAAGAACCTGTTTACGACTTGACGTATGGGAAAGTCGTAAACAAATCCAAACCACCATGTTAAAGTGTTGTAGAACACTTTAGCCTTGTTTCATTTGTCTAAACTGGTTAGCTTGACTGCATCTCTCGAAATTCGAGGTCCACACGAACACTGCGAACACTGCGAAGGCCTGACGAAGCTTCTGTACATTTGCTCTTGAGCAATTAAACATCTGCATACCAAAGTTTTCAAGCAAAGAGCAGATTGCTAGCACTTTCGAAGACACTGACAGATGATTACAGGTGACAGATGATTATTAACTTTCAGTTGAATTTCTTTCGCTTGTTCTTGCCAGTAGTTCTCACTATCTTTACAGGTGAGGTTACCTGCTTAACATTGGCAAAGTAGTCTGGTCTTCAACATTCTTTAAACCAGAAACCCAGACACATTCACCAGTTCACTAAACTGCCAGATGCATCATCTCGTTACTTTTATGTGCTTGTTGTTTTATGTACAGCCACCCATCTGTTTTAACCCATATATGGCCAAAATTAGTCAAATTACCAAAATTAATTTATTTACCCAAAGTGATTGCTTCTATGGCCTCAAAAAACAGAATAAAGCTTTTATTTTTTAAAAGTTCTTTCAAACAATGATTTTGGAGCCGTCCTGTATGTAGGACACTTGTGTTTGACACACCAAGAACAAAAAACATTAGCGCCTGTCACCGTCATGTGAAAGTTACAGCACGCGCAATAACTGACGAACAATTGACAAAGATATCAGCAGCATCGAGAACAACTTGACTCTATATTAATTTTTTTCGCGGTATGGCGCTCAGTTACATACACGGGAAATAGCCATTTTGTTACTGCGAGCACGCGGCTATTTGTAGCTCAGCGATCACCTAGACTTGCATGTGATGAAGACAGGGCATTATAAACACACCTTAGGTGGCTCTACTTTTTTTACATAAAAAACATTCGAGTTACACTGAAAAGTTTCACCATTCTACATGTAGGACACTGGGCATATATGGGTTAACCTGCACGCGCGGGCGTCGACCACCCGATCGATAAGCGGCGTTTAACGGAGTACAGCAGCAAAATAAACGAGAATACGTGAATGCCTGCGATTAGCAGCCTTGCCCAGCTGTCTTCCCTTAGGCTGTTTCAAGAACCGGACACCAGGACGCCCGGAACAGACGCTTATAGACTCTTCGATCAATGCTGACACCCTCAGCTTTTTAAAATTCGTGGCTGTACATGCCTAAGAAGATGGATTTAAAAAAAAGACCGTAGCACAGTGCCTTTCATGTTGGCATCTGTTGTTGCCGACCAAGAGATCGACGGTTCAAATCTCGTGGGCGCAACTTTTCGCATTTGTGATCTGATCATGTACAATTTTTGATGTCAGTCTCATGAAGGCAAGATATGCCATATCGAGGTTGCCACATTAAATCACATGCTCTGCGACTGCGCCAGAAATCCGCAAGGTGCTAAATCGGGAACCTTCCCGCCTTGTGCAGCCCCAGCCTCGGGTACCAACTCTGGGCCGTCCAGCAGGCCCGCGAGGCAGCGGTCAAGCAAGGTCTTGACGTCCCCACGTGGGAGACCTAAGGCCCCGTCGGCGAAAGCTCTGCCGGACTTCCAATAAAGTTGTTACCAACCAACCAATTACCATGACGGAAATGCCCCACGGAAGTCTTGGTGGACCCCGGCATAAAAATAAAAATGCCGAGCGTAGCTTGCACTAGTGGCGCAATCCAAAAGGCACAACAGAGCTCATCGTTTCCTACCTGGTTCTAATCATACGAAGTATTGCCGAGTAATGCTAAGCTGTATGAAGTAATGGCATGGGCGAGTGCAGCACAGCCGTCTGTGCAGCTCAACCGGGTGGTTGCGCGCAGTATCCAGGCAGGCAGACTGGTGGTGGAGCAGAGTATGGTCTCACGAACCACGTGTACAGCTGTGCAACTGAGCGCTAGAGAGCGCGCGATGTTGTCATTTTGACGGAGAGTGTTTTACGGGCGAAGCTCCTTAAAGTGGCACCCATTCGTCCCTCGTAGTAGTCGTAGTAGTAGTGTGTAACCAGTCTTATGTTTTGACCTGCAAGGTAGTGCCGGTGGGAGATTTCTCCTTGGCGTTGTTCAACAATAAAAAATTCGCAGCGTGCGCGTTAACTGAAAGCCGAATTCTTCTGTCTCTCGTTCCCTATTAGCCGCCATTGGCATGTACATTGAGCACTATCTGACAAGAAATGGTTGCTACCTTATACTCTCTGGGCATAACTTCCTTGGTTTTAGATAAGTTTAGCGAGCGTTGGGCCTCAGTGTCATGAATACAGTGAACTAGTACATACCATGAACTCGAGGTGGTTAAAGGTGGGAAGTATATACGAAGCGCAAGCCGTAAGAAAGTAAAAGCCGATTTCTTCTTTCTCTCATCCCCCATTAGCAGCCATTGGCATGTACATTGAGCACTATCTGACAAGAAAGGGTTGCTACGTTATACTTGCTAGGTGTAACCTCCTTGGTTTAGAAAGGTTTGGCGAGCGTTGAGTCGCAGTGCCATGAATATAATGAACTAGTATATACCATGAAATCGAGGTGAGTAAAGGTGGGAAGTAGACACGAAGCGCAAGCCGTAAGGAAGTGTGCGTGTGCCATCTCTCGTTTAGACCTTGGAATGTTCGTTGGATAGCGGTGTTTCTTTATGGGGAATATATTGTTACGGGGATAACAAACACAAGGAAGAAAGAAATGAGTGTATTACCAATAATTACAAGTAGTTGAGAACCACCAGGGCTACCAGCCTTTCGCGCTCATGCCCACTGCCTCCTAACAATATGATGAAAAGATGCGAGATGGTGGTACTTGCAGTGTTGAATAGATGGGCGAACGGACACACAGACAGGTACATGGACGGACGTACGGATGGCTGCACGGACGGGTGGACGCATGGACGGACGCAGGGGTGGATGCATGAACGAACACAAGGACGGACGAACAGATTGACGAGCGGACGCACGAACAGACGCACGCACAGACAGACGGATGGACGCACGGACGGTCACACAGACGGACTATTGGACGGACGGAAGCAAGAACGAATAAACGGACGAATTCTTTGCCCCACTCCCCATCATTCACCCCGTGGATATGCTGCCATTTTTTTTTTTTGCTTTTGACAGATTACGGCCGATTTAAGCAGCTCCGCTGTCAATAATCAAGCAGTCGCATTAAATGTCAAGTCAAACCACATGCTCTGACGCAAAAAAAAACTGTCTCAGGGTCTAAATTACAAAATACAATTGTAGACGCACCACGGCGTAACGATCGCAAGCGTTGCCAACTCCCCATTTCACAAGGAGCTATTTCGATAACCCGATTATTCCCGTCTACACCACACGGAATACGTGCAGATCACCCCGATCAATAAGACGAGAACTGCCCCTTTGCGCACGGTTATTACAATCTTTAACGCGATCACATTAATAGTTGAAACGTAGCCCCCATGCGTATATTTTTTCTCTTATACGCTGAAAGTTGAATGATAATAAACAGTAAAAAGTGCAGTCCTGCACTTAACCTCTTTGTTATTCAAGCAGCATAACTTACACGTGACCAGCCAGGATGTTGAGAAGCGTGGTCTTTCCAGCTCCCGAAGGTCCCATTACGGCGGTGAGGGTGCCGGGGGAGGCCTTTCCGTACAGCCGACTCAGCAGCTCTCGCTTCCCTGAAGTTTTGTAGAAGCATAAAAGAAATATTGCTGATGGTGCCATTAAAGAGTATGTAACTATATCATTTGCAAAGCAAATACAACGCGAAGTCGCACCGTGCTTTAAAAAGGTGTTTGCGAGAAAACAAAAAAAAACAATTTCAACATACAATGAATAACGACACATTGACACTACACCGCTGTCTTCCACTTTCCATCTTTGCAGCAAAAGTCACTTCTGGTAACGACGCTGTTTTGCCCCGTCGTGTCCACGTCAGTTCACTTATTTCGAAAATAACTTTATGCAAAGCGTTCATCTTGAATGGAATCAAGCTATTTTCCACGATCAAGCTGATACGTCTTGACTTAACTGACACTTTTCAAGCAATTACACCACCATAGACAAACTGTTATTTCCTTATACGTTTTTGTACATTAATTTATGGCAACGTTTCTTCTACAACATCTAAGAAACAAATAATATATTGTTTCTACAAACGCTGCACCTCACCTTCACAACCTAGCGTGGAATGCAAGTTTAAACAAGTTGTAGCACTCCCTATTCGATTGAACGCGTTCATGGAAATCTCAGTTTTACATGGCCATGACTAACCCTTCGGGTCATCCGCCGAGTAACCGCGTATTTACGCTCTCTTACCTGGTTCCAAACCATTCTCTGGCAATCAATGCGTACGCTTTAAAACTACATATTTTAAAATACCCATTCGGGCCATCATACGACCGCCAAAAGCACATCGCGTACTATTAGTTTAGCGTACTTAATAGCTAAGTCGCTATCACTCATGTCTGCGTCCTTCATTCTTCAGAAAACGGGAAAACGCTTACGCAAGGTTCATTTGTGTGTGACTCATGCCAACATGTGATTTCGAGAAACGTCGTAATTAGGGGGTCCCGAAAATTTCGACCGTCTGGTGTTCATCAACGAGCATTTTAAGTGTTATCTGACTGAACGTTATAACTAGTGTTATTTCCAACGCACTCAGTGTTCGTTTGAGTGCATTTTATGTGAAGAATGGTGTTATGTAAATTGACCGTAATTTGTGTTCACTCGTGTCGATACGTGAATTGACTTTGTGCTACGTTATTTTAGGAGCTTGCTCGGCAAGTTTCTAATGCTCATGCCTTGCCGGTGGGCACACCAGTGTTTCCGGTGTACACTTCTACGGTCGCCGCTCACGGCGTCGCCTCCGGTGATTCCAACATTTCTCACTAGATGGCGCGTCACCACCCAAGGCGTCGGTTTTCCAGTGCTTTCAAGAATGCTCACTAGAGAGAGCGGCAGCGCACACCACTCTCGGCACGCGTCCACTTCCTTTCTCTTCGGCGGCAGATCACGTTAAACACGCATCGTTACTGCTCGGCTGCTGAACAGCCCAGAAGCCAAGGCAGCAGCGCAGCGACCTCGAAATGCACAGCAGCTCGGGCTCGCCGCCAAGACCCTGCGATGACAGCCTGGGAGGCCGAAGCGAAGAGAGCTCGCCGTCAAGCAAACGCGGAGCTGCGGGCCAGCGAAGCAGCAGTGAACAGAGCTCGCCGTCAAGCAAAGAAATTGGCTAGTCCAACTGATGATGCCACGTTATGCTCTCTGATGCGTATCATATGACTGCAAACGTCCCACTAACCTCAGGGCACCTGAATTGATGTTGGCCTTCTCAAACTTTCTATTGTGTCTCTTATTGAAGATCCCTTGTCAACATACTTTAGTGACCATAAAGTAATAATCTTTAAAGGTAAACGAGTCCTCAAGCTCACGGAGGAACGCTTTTTTTTTTCTTCGTGATGATTATTAGTTTGGTTTTATGGCGCAGGGTCCATGGGGGGCCAAAGCCAACCATGGTCTCTGCGTTGCCCTTCTTGTAATTTGTCGTTTTGGGACTTAATATATAATGTATATAGTGTATACATCATAAAGAAATCATCTTTAAAGAAAAACGCGTCCAAAGCTCATCGAGCGACGCCCTTTTTGTACTTTGCAAAAGATCACCTCTTGTATGTATAAAATGTATACACTTCATCAAATTATATATAGCGCATTCAAATGAAAATTAATAAAAAGTGTGTAATGTATATATAAAAACATTGTCACGTCTATATATAATAGTAGGAGAGGTGTACGGAGGATTTGCGGGTGGCCGGATCATATCCGCGCAAGCTCCTTTAACATCATTTACTTTGTGAACATCACGATGATGTTTTATGGCTTGACTCACTGACATGAACTGTTAATAGGTGCTGTTTTATGTAATGTTTTTTTTTTTACTGCTGCGATTTTTCTAAGGTCTGCTATCGGCGTAAGGGTGTAGCCACGTTGTAACATCTAATAAACAACACATAACTTGAAAAATAGGTGTAAGTTTTGTAACTAAACAGAAAAAAAAAACGATGTCCATTATCACAACCTTTAAAGCCTATCAAATGCACATGTACCTGTTTTGTTTTTCACGAAGAAAGATATGTTTTTCCACTCGAGGGTAATAGGCGGACACCTTATGTCTTGAATAAGTGACTCCGTGGCAGCGCTCAGTTTCGTGCGCACAGAGTTGATTTTCTCTTTGTCGTAAAGGTTGTCCCTTTCTTGCAAACTGCAAATGAGAAAGAAGATATGGCGGATATTGGCTGGTGTTAGTTAACATTGGTCAGTCAGGACAGCATTACGGTGGCTCGGCTACAGCTATTGTGCAGGTGCCACTAGAACGCCATCCCGATCTCTCATTTGCCCATAAGGCAGTGACAACACACTTGCGCTTTTTGAAAGAAAGGAGTGTAAATTTAAGGGCTATAGTTTTCTTTGTCAGACACAGTATTAATGATAACAGACAATGACGCCACGGCAAGGATAGGAAATGCTATTGCAAGTAACTGTAAGGTAATTGTACGAAAAAATAACGTCAGGACGCCATCCTTTGACCACAAGTCAGAGTGATGGCGTCCTGACGTGAAGCCATCATATGTGACGTCGTGATGACGTTATGATGAGGTCACAAATTCTGGCGATGGTTGGACATTGATTAGCGTAAAAGTAGAACAGCTTTTTTTCAGTAGCCCTCTGGGCAAGTAAACATGAATCGAATGTCAGTGTAGCACCTCGAGGTGTATATACATAATCATTCGTTTGGTTAACGAAAGCATCATCATCAGCAGCAGCAGCAGCCTACGTCCGCTGCAGGACAAAGGCCTCTCCCATGTTCCGCCAGTTAACCCGGTCCTGTGCTTGCTGCTGCCAATTTATATCCGCAAACTTCTTAATCTCATCTGCCCACCTAATCTTCTGTCTCCCCCTAACCCGCTTCCCTTCTCTGGGAATCCAGTCAGTTACCCTTAATGACCAGCGGTTATCCTGTCTACGCGCTACATGCCCTGCCCATGTCCATTTGTTCCCTAATCCACTCTGCTCTCTTCTTGTCTCTTAAGCAGAACGAAAGCATATAACAGGATAAAAAAGAGAAATTGCACTCGTCAATATATTGACACACTCCAGAGAACATCGCATTGTATGAAATGTATATAGATGTGTCATAAAAAGTGAGACGCCTCTCACGTATCAATTTTACCTTTGACATAAATTTACGTCCCCGTGAAAAAATTTGCGCGTGGTTACGTTCCAGAAAGACATAATTGTACGAAACATGCGTGGAAAACATGTCCGTTCTTTACTACGTTATAGCAAAAGATAACACAGAGATGCTAGGACGATGCTAGAAAGTTGCCATGTGCACCTTCATCATCATCATGAGTAGCAGCAGCCTAAGTACGCCAACTGCACTACAAAGGCCTCTCCCACATCAACACAGCGCTTTGCTTTCTGCGGCCACGTTATACCTGCAAACTTCTTGATCTCATCCGCCCCACCTAATTTCCTACCTCCATCTCACGCGTTTGCCTTCTCTTGGAATCCAGTCAGTTGCCCTTATAATGACCAGCGGTAATCCTGCCTACATGCTATATACGTGCCCAGCCCATCTCTATTTCTTCTTCTTGATTTCAACTATGATATTCTTAACCCCCGTTTGTTCCCTGACCAACTCTGCTCTCTTTCTGTCTCTTAAGGTTTCAACCTATCATTTTCCTTTCCATCGCTCGCTTGTCATTCTCAATTTAAGCTGAACCCTCTTTGTAAGCCTCCACGTTTCTGCTCCACATAGGTAAGTACCGGTAAGATGTAGCTGTTAAATACCTTTCTCTTGAGGGATAGTGGTAGACTACCATTCACAATTTTAGGATGCTTGACAAATGTGGTCCGCCGCATTCTTCTTATTCTGGTAATTTCACTCTCATGACTCGGATCCGCGGTTACTACCTGTCTTAAGTAGACATATTTCTTTACAACTTGCGCACGTCCCTTCATACTTGTGTCCAGTGTAATCGTAAAGTAACGTCTAATGGACATGAAAAAACAATGATAATAAGCGATTGCAAGCGTCGTACTTACGGTAAGGAAATATCCGCCATTATGTTTGGTGGCCCGCTTTTCCCGCCAGGCGTTGCCTTCACTATTCCAGTGCCACTCTGTTGATATGCTGTTGGAGCAGCCACAAGCCCAGAACCGTGCAGCTTCTTCAAACGCTACAGCTTCCTGACAAGTTATCCACCCTGCGTGAAGGGGCGTCACAATGAAAATCGATACGAACGAGTGGGTCATTTTTTTTATCTCCAGTTTTCGAGTGCTATCTCTGTTCAAACGTCACCAAACGATGATCCCGCAAGCCCACTTTCATGCTGGCTCAACTACTTTTCCCCGGGGCAGCCGATAACAGAATTGTCACCGGCCCGAGTTCCAACATGAGGCACCATATCTAGAAACCCTTTGGGCACTTGAAAACATGACCAGAGTATTACGTGACAATCTATTCAAGGCGTCTTGCCGCACAACCCTGCACATGTTTTTTTCTCTTTTTTTTCATATAATTCTTTAGCGCACGAAGACAACGCGTGGTGGAAACATCGCAAGAAGCTCACATCTAGTGTTTAACGCTTCAAAACCACGATATGTTCATGAGCGACGCCGTAGTCACTGAAAATTTTGAACATCTGGTGTTCTTTACGTTCACAGGCATCGCCCAAGGCCTCCAGTATTTTGCCCCCATTGAAATGCGACCATCGCGACCGGCATCGAACCCGCGACTTTCGGCTCAGCAGCCGTTCACCATAACCGCTACACGGCCACGCGTCAGACTGACAAAAGGCTGACTGCTTGTATTTGCTGGCGTTCATATTTGAGTGGTCACTTGACCGTTCTTGCTTGACCAAGCCGAGGCCTCTATACCGTATATTGCGTAATACAGAGTGCTACTTCGTTCGCTTCGCTGTACTCTGAGTGTCACGTCTCGCGCCGCCAGCACTTCCCGTGTGCGGTCCCTGACTTTTTAAAGACGGCAGTCTTTCTTGGGGACCTTCGCCAAAAAATATTTGTCTGTCTGTCTGTCTGTATGTCTGTACATTTGTCTGTTTGTCCACCCTAACGATACCTCAAATGGCACCAAATGGCCAACCCCATCCGCAGCGCCCTCCAATGTTGCTCAAGGTTTAGCGTTCATAGTTGTGCGATTGTCATTAAAAAGCAAATATTGCGCATATCTGAGGCGCCACAACAACGCTTCGATGTTTTCGATGTCTGCCTTTATACTAGAAGAGGCACAGACAAGTAACTCTAAGGAACGTAGCGTTAAATCGCGCTGCGCTCACAGTGCAACACGATGCTCAAAAAGGGGTTTCCAACGCTTTGCGACGACGTGACGGTGGTGGCACCTGCACGTCGCTTTGCGTTCTGCACCTTATCACCTCCGAGAGTGACGCACATCTTTCTCCGCAGGCTGCACGCCTTCGTTTTCGAAGATAACTGCCAGATGGCACCTGTGTCTAACGTGCCTAGATGCGCTCGTTCGACTCCGCTACACGCTCGAGGAGTCGAAGCACTCTAACGCAGCGCCCGCAGAATACCTTGCACCAATTTTCTTGCGCAGAACATCAAATAAACGTTTTGTTCACTCTCTCCAGACGCAAGACTGTCGTCTTTCGACGACATTTACAGTAACATACAAATTTGGGCCTTTTTTTTTTTTTTGAAAGGACGACTCCCACAGAACCAATGCGAAATAGTGTTCCATGTTACAGCACGGGCCCGTTGGAGTGAAGGCACACTTCTCAATACGAGGGCTACTTTGGTGTCTCTTGCTTTAGGTATATCGGCATGGGGGACAGTGCTCATTGCAACTGCTGCGGCACTGAAAGAAAATATAGAACACGTTTTTTACCGCTATCCACGGTTCTGCGCTCAGAAGCGACACACGCAACCATGTTGACCTGTCTTGACAATAGGCCAATGCCCGAATAAACCATCTTCGAATAATATTTTAATTGTTGGAATTTTGCGTCTCAGAGCCATGATATGATCACAAGAAAAATTGTAGCGGAATGCTCCGAAAAGTTTGACCACCTAGTAGTGTTCTTTAACGTGTACCTAAATCTAAATACAGGGGCCCCTGGCAATTTGCCTCTGTCGAATCAAATGTGGTCGCCACTGCCGGTATTCCACACCGTTACTTTATGGTTAGCTGTCGAGCACCGTAAAGACTAGACAACGGTAAGTACAGTGTGTCGTCGCATCTGAAATTCAATGGGTTTTTATTGGATGTTGTGCGTGTGTGTCTGTGTGTGCGTGCGTGCGTCCGCGTGTGTTTGTGTCTGTCTGTATGTGTGAGTAGAGGCTACAGCGCCCTCACTACGCACGCTTCTTCTTTTTTTTTATTTTTTTAATATTCCTTTGCCGAGAACATTGGCGAGTACATGAGCAAGACTCTTTCTTTAATCGCGGAAACGATCCGCAGCCGCACTTCGGTCACATGGGCGGTGCCTCTCCGCACTACTTGGGTTTAAACTGACGAAAAGCATGTGTATACTAACAACCGTTCAGGTTTTCGGCGAAAAATAAACATAATCAGAGGAAACCAAGGATAATGGTTCTATATTTAGATCATTCATAAAAATAAAGCGCGAGGACTGTGCGGAAAGCGCAGCACAGTCACATAAAAAGCTAGAAGAGTGGCCTTTGAGAGCCTTTTTTGAACACTCATTGGGTTACTGCTGCAATCACACTTGGTGGGTAACCACTACGGCCTTAATTTCTTAGCTGTAGGCCGGCATTCGCTATGCTATCCTTTATCATTCTTCTGAGAAGCATGGTATATGCTAAACACTTGCAATAAATTTTGTGCCAATTGATCATGCAGTGGCTGACGACAACGAGGAATTATGGCTGAAGTTGGTATGCGCCACAGTTAATAGGTGATCAAGAACAAGCTTTTGTAATGGGTTGGAGCATCAGACGGCCCACTCATTATATATATATATATATATATATATATATATATATATATATATATATATATATATATATATATATATATATTTATATGAAGAGCAGCAGAGGAAGACGAAGATTCGTCTTGGCACGATCGCAGTGTGCTGCCACAAACGACTATCGTTCACCTCCTGTAAATAAAACCATCTTATCACAGCTCGCTGTTACAGTTGTGGTGGACGTGCTGGGTAATCGACACCCGAAGACGGAAGGTGAACCGCAAGTTCTTCGACGGAGCCGTCGCATTGCTGGACTTCCACCGAATCCATCTGGGCTGGACATGTCCCACAACGCAAATGAACACCGACCCCTCTCGACTTCTGCGCCGACCAGTTCGGCTGCACAACTGAGAGATGCTCGTACCTTTGCCGGCAGACCAGATTAAGACGTCGAGGTTTGGCTCATCTATTACAAACGGGTGAGCGCCGCTAGCAAATGGGATGCCACTTCTCAGCTCTTGTACGTCGCGTTCTTTCTGATGGATACTGCATTAATGTGGTACGAGAATCGGGAGGAAACGCTAACGACGTGGGACAGATTTGTTTCTGAAATCAAAGAGCGTTTCGGCGACCCTACAACTATAAAGAAAAGAACAGAACAGACGCTAATGCAACGCGCTCAAGTGCCAGGTGAAACTTGCACGACCTACATAGAGGAAGTCATAAAGCTATGTAGGGCCATTGACTCCGGAATGTCTGAGGAAGACAAAGTCGGGCACATTCTAAAAGGAATCGCCGAGGATGTTTACTGTTTCCTCATCGCGAAAGACACCTTGACATCTGTCACCGATGTCATTCGTCATTGCCGCAATTTTGAGCAACTAAAGACGAGGCGCATCACGCCAAAGTTCGGCAGGCTACCCAATGTGACGACCATCGCGAGCATAGACAGCAACCAGGCGCTTGATCTTGCAACAACGATCCGGCAGATAGTACGTGAAGAACTCGGCCTGTACGCGCAAGTGGCAAACCGGCCAAGCACTCATTCCCCCTATCAGCCACCAGAGTTCGAGCGAAACGTTGCTTCATTCTCCTCACACCGAGTGGCGGAGGGCTTTGAGGATTCTGATGCCACACCTCGGTATCAGTCACGTCTATACGATAGAGGCCCTGCCTATGACGCACGATCACGACGAGCACAGCCACATTCTTATACTCAGGGCTCTCAGCCGGACTACGTCCCGCTGCGGCAAGGACACTACCAACCCTACTACCAGGATGTAACTTACGACGAATACAATGAATTCTAGAGAGTGGCAGAAACCCGTTCTTCGCGTGATAACGAACTTCCTCGTTGACAGCAGCGGCCGAGGATTCGTTCCATTGAATATAGTATAAACCGTAACCCTTCCGTGTGCTACAACTGTGGTTTCACTGGGCATATTGCTCGGTATCGCCGCCAACAGCGCCGCCAATCACGAAGGACACCAGCCATGTCTTCGCCACCAAGACCCGGTGCTTCATATAACCTGCGGACAACCGACTTGTTTCCAAGGGACCGTTTTTCGCGCGAGACCAGACGCAGTGATTTGCCAGCATCCGAGCGGAGTTTGACACCACCATCTAGCCGTTCTCGTCGCTCGCCGTCTCCTCTGCGTCGTTCTTCTTCGCCGCCGGGAAACTAGCATCCGAAGCCAATGGAGGTGAGGTTGCCGGACGGTCTTTTCAAAATATACCTCTGCCTATTGTTATGATAAAAAACAAAGTGAATGTGTTGATTGATGGAATACCGACGATGGCGTTAGTTGACACTGGGGCGACTGTGGCTGTGATGAGCCTCGCCTTCAGAAACCGCTTAGGTCGCAAAGTTATGTTTTCATGGGACGATACAATCACCTTTCGTGGTGTAGGCGGCGAGTGGCTTAATCCTCTTGGTGTATGTGCTGTCAGTGATTCATTGGCTGGAAAAGTATTTGTATCGGAATATCTGGTTCTATCTCATTGTTCGCACGATGTCATTCTTGGTATCGATTTCCTGGAGCAATGCAGTGCTTCCTTTGACTGTGGTAGTGGGGAAATATCACTAAACAATTTGTTTCTACCGTCGCTTTCCGAAGAAGACTACCGTGGCGAAGACAGGAACACACTTAGTGTGATTGATGAAGTGACAGCACCATCTTGGTGCCTGACACCCGTTCGAGTCTCTTCCACAGTGGTTGATGATGCTTGTGTTGACCTCGTAGTGGGGCCTCTACGCAAGAACTCTTTTAAGAAGGACATACTTGTGCCTTGTT